GTTGTTAGCGCCCCTGAAAAGGCACAGCGCTGCGCCAACCAACGCAAACTCAATCTCCAACATAGGTACCAACAGTGATGAACTTGTCACAACGGTGACACGAACGAGGGCCAAACATACCCGCACTCGTCTTGGTTGCGCGACTTGCAGGTAAGTTAACCGAGTTGTTGGCTGTAACATCCAAACGCCGTGCCAACAAGCATGTTCCCATCAAAGCAGTCCATGCACTGCGCCGGTAAAGTGCTTGAGGACAGTGGGAATTTCAAAGCTGAGTGAATCTACTCCGAGCACAGATTCCGCCATGTAAGATGCGGCTTGGAACGACCCTCATGCCTCCGATGTAGTTCCACCGGAAGAGTCTGCGACTTTGTTGAAAACTCGAACAATGAGCGGCGCATTCCAATCTCCGCAAAGAGCGCATACGTATCAATCATACCCCGGCCCAACCCCAACGATGCCATCTATCAAACAGCCCCGCAAATCGGCCGCTGGATCAACTTTTATCAAGGCCATTCAGCTCCTGAATTCGCTGAATACTTTGACGTGGAGTTCTGGAGCACCACCATCTTACAACTCAGCTACCGAGAACAGTGCGTCCATCAAATGCTCGTTGCCATTGGTTCCCTCCACGAGTCTTTGAAGTCTGGCTTGGTCCAACAAGTAGACTCCGGTGCCGTCAATCTGTATAAATACGCCGAAGCAGAGTACACAAGAGCTGTCAGTCTTCTCAATACGCACATGACCCATCGAGGGTGGTCAGCTCTCGAAATCACACTCGTGTGTTCTATTCTTGGTATCATGTTCGAGTGGCTACGCGGTGGCTATCAGGATGCTGTTCGACATCTCACAAGTAGCTTCAAGATCCTATCAACGTGGCTATCCCACAACGCGCCATCATCTACCACCACCTTTGGATCGCCAGGAGGCCACCTGATACGCAGTCAGATAAAACCAATCTTCCATATTTTGGTCTTGCAACCAAGGATGTTGCCGATACCACCCAGCGTGCCACCCAAGGTAGTCCAAGCCCCGGAGCAAACCATACCCGAATTTTCTAGCGTCGCCCACGCTCGAAATGTTCAGCTCGACCTCTTAACTTATGTTCTTGTGGTCCCGCCAAAAGTCGCAGGAAATAAAGGAAGAACACACCAGATCCTGGCGGGACCGTTGAGTCAATGGTCCGACAACTTTGCACTCTTCATCTCACAACAGCCACAATTGGCCTCCGATGCCCGCGTAAAGATACTCAAAGTATGGCGCGTAATCACAGAGATAATATATTTATCACCTTTCTCTTCGGAACGGAGCTCCTTTCATGGGCTGAATACGCAACTCTCTACCTTCCTGGATGACATTGAGAGTAGGAGGATATCAGTTGACATAGGAGCGGTTGCGGTCTTCTTTTACACCGCTTCGTACTGCCGCCATCCTGAAACGCATCGTCGAGCAATTGCTTTCCTGGAGTCGGCAGGTGGACCATGGGGACATCATGTTGCTATCAAAGCTCAGCAAGAGTACACTAGAATCGAGGACAGCAATCCGGATTTCGGATCTTCTTGATCAACTCCGCTACAAGCCTAATTTCCTCGAGCAATATCACAGCACCGCCTATACCACCCATCGCGTTTGAATTGAAACAAGCCTGTTGGATGCGGAAAATGCTGCAGTCTCTAATAACGATATCTATGCTTCATTCACATCATGTCTAAAGAGCTCATGTCTAAAGTTTGAAAGAATTATGACTGCGCCCACTCCGTAACCTTCTGGAATATCAGCTTGGCGTCCTCCTCGCTCGAGGACATCTCAGAGTAGTATCGCTGAAGATCGTCCTCAGTTGGTAGTGTCGCCCTGTAATATGGAACGTTCATATCGAAAAGCTGTCTAGACAGCTCGCCGTAAATCTCTGGGTGGCCTTGAAGCGATAAGACGAGCCCAGAATCAGACATGAGAATTTCGTTCTTAGGCGCCAATGGCTTGAAACCGCTGGGCACATCCTGCACAAAGCGCTTATGGAATTTTGTGATTTTCTAATGAGATTGAGGTCTTAACGACTGGAACCTGGGTATTGACCACGGGTGGTGTGCCGCGGAGAGAACTTACCAGCGCCTCTTTGCCAAAAAGTGCTTTACCATCGTCGTTCAGAGCGAGGACTTCCACGCCAACCTAGAGGGTTCGTTTAGCATCCGCCTTGTAGAGCCTACAGGTGTCCTGCGCTATTTGTCGACACTCACTCTTGGATGCTCAAAGCTTCCGACTTTGCCAGAAAGAGCCGTCGCAATTGCCTGATGACCCCAGCAGATGCCGAGCAGCTTCGTCTTCGTGATGTGTTGCTGCCCCACCACTTGTCGAATCCATTTCAGCGTAGTGTCGACCCAAGGCTCATAAGTCGCCTGGCACAGGTTGCTCAGTCCACCGGTAATGATGATGAGATCGTAGTCCGCAGGTGCTGGAAGGTGGCCGTCTTCCTTCATTGGTCGATATGCGTCGATGGTTGCATCTGGAACTTGTTGGAGGACATTATCTCGGAATGACTGAAGCATTCCCCTGTGCTTTGGCTCGTCGATCTCGTAGGCTTTGACGATGGCGACCCTAAAAGGAGTTGCTTGTGGTAATGAACCCATGTTTATCCGCACTCTGTGTTTTTGAGTGTTCGTTCAGTTCGTATGGTCTGAAGCCTGTGTAGTGCAAAGTCTATGAAGAGTGAAGTCAAATTCGAGATGTGTCGGTGTTGCGGTGCGGGACACTCTTGATAAGAATGAAGTAGGTTGCTCCGTGTTCTTGACTCAATGCTCTCGGAGTTTCGGACTAACAGATAAACTAAGCGCGCTCCACCAGCCCGGCAAGGTGGGCCGGCTAAACTCGGAGCCTCCACTTGACACACCTCCGGGAATCGGACGCTGGAAGGTTAATCACGAGGCGCCCCGAATCCATAGCATTAGTAATGAAATGAGGCTTGGTCCGTGTTATCTATCGCATGGCGTTCTACGCCCACCAGTTATGAGCAAGTTTACCATCTGCCATGTGCGCCCTGCCTTCCAGATGGGCTGGTCATGCTTCTCAATGTTTCCTTGATGAAGCTTAACCTCCCCCGTCCATCCAGCTGGCCGCTGCGGGTCCTCTGTTGTAGCTTCCGCTATAAGCCCTTGCATGAGTCAAAGAGAACCCCGCGGTCTGAGTATTGGGGTAAGCTTACGCGATGGCACGATCTAGCCATCGCTGTTGGTCCCTGCAGATGGATCGGAGTGATGTGGCCTAGCAAAGCAGCGAACAAAGAGTCTTTGAGTTGCCGTTCTTACCCCACTTTCCCGGTGCCGGATTTTGAGACCACACGTTCAACGGCTCCGATTACCGAATTAGGAAACTTTTCACCACATCATACGAACCATCTTGAACATTGTGAATCAAAACTTCCAGACACACAGAGTGAATGTCAAGAGCACAAAGTATGAATAATAGAAAAGAGGATAAAAGAAGGACGACAAGGAAGATGGCAGTCTCGAACAATGGCGATGTGGCTACAGGAATGGTAAGCGGGGCAATTTCGTCTATTCTCTATTTCTTCACAGGTAGCGTACCTACCTAGGTACCTTATTTTAAGAGTATCATATGGATTAGCTGCAAGTTCCAAGAACGCCGCGTTCTGGCTTGAGGGCTGGTCAATCAAGGCAGCTATACGCGTAGAGTGCCTGGATAGCCAGTCTGCTCGGTGATGTGGATCTCTGTTTTCTACACTAGTTATTACTTTGAAGGGGGGAGTGCAGTGCATCCTCCCCGTCTTGGCAGCCTCCACAGACCGCACCACCATTCCAAGACACGCCAGCCAACCGCTAGGAAATCCCTACCTAGTGCCTAGGATTTTGGATTACCTTTAGTATGTTAATAGGCATGATCAAAGTTCAGCTTGCAGCCAAGCTCAGTACTTATGCTGGTGTTGGCCCCCTTCGCTACCCTGATCTGTCTCGACGGGTTCCTCCCCAATAGTCTCAGATGTTGGTGCAGAATTGGGGCCATTTCTCTCTCAGCTCTTTGGATGACAAGCACAGTTCAACTTTGCCAAGCAACGCCAATACGACCCAGCCTTGCCAACCCGTGCATCGCCTCAATTCGGGACTTTTGTATGCTTGTTGGTGCCACAGAAGGAAGAGCCACTAATTACGATGTGTCGCCAAATGTCTTGGACGCGCGCCTTCTTAAGGTCAGTGGCAGCCCGGTCATAACGTGCCTTATGGCAATCGTCAACTACCTTTCCTGTCCTCTCGAGCGATCCCTTCCGAGCAGTAGTCGCGGAAACCATGGTGCGGCTCACATCACTTTTCGCACGAGCTCTACTATCTGCGACATTTGTGGTCGCCGCCCCGGCTGCATCCACACCGCCGCCGCTCCGGAGACAGATCACGGGTGACGAAGCTTGTGCCGAAATTGGAAGGGTTTACAACGAAGCAAGTCTGACAAACACTACGGGTATGTTCAAGTGGTACTTCCTACCCTTCCTATGCTACCGGGTCTTCTTTTGATATTAGGGGGTGGTTCGTACTCGCACTCGCCTTTGTCGTGCCACGCGAAAGCTTTAGACCGGGGATGATGAAGGAGCAGCAGCGAATGCAGACACATTAGGTGGAACACAGGCTGACATTTTGCAGACAATGTTGTGGTGAAGCCTTCCCTGGCATACCAGTGCCTTCGATCAATCTCAGTGGACGTTGAAAGAGATACCGCCCTTGTTCACTATTTGCGACCATGGCTTGAATACCAGAGTACCGTCAATATTCTTGTAAACCCTCCCGAAGAATACCTTTACCCGGGCGTTGATATCTTTGGTGGTCTCGACAATATCACCCAGTCACTCGAGAATGGGGGTTACGAGTCTCAAATCGACTTCACTGTTGATCTTTACAGGCTGATTAACGTCAAGCCTCGGGATGGGCATTTGTCCTGGTCGCCTGTTTTGGGTGTCCTAATTAGCTTTTCTACTCCAGCGTTGTTTATATCGATTTCGGAAGATGGCATCAAGTCTCCCAAGATTTACCTTTACTGTAAGTAGTGAATTTCATAATTGTTATTTCCGCTCTTGGTTATGCTCCTTTCTCCCGCATGCGGAGGCTGGGAAAGAGGGGAAGCGAGAGATACAAGATTGCCATTCGGACATCACTAACGCAAGTGCTTGCTAGCTGACTACCAGAAAAGCACGCAACAAGGATATAATGCTTCGGAGGTCAAGTCCTTTGATACGGCGCCAATTGTCGACTACATTCAGCAGCGGTCTGTTGACAACTCTCGAGACCAGGATCCCGATGCAGCCTACAATGAGCAGCTGTATAGCGCAGCTCTAGAAAATGTTCTCGAGACGACAACTGCTGGCAGGCATCTACATACAACCCTCAGTGACGAAAGCGTCATCCGATTCGTCAACGGAACGGAGGCAACTGTCGTCAATAGAGCTCGCATTGTTGCAAATTTCTCCGGAATTACGTCTGGTCAAGCAGTTCATGAGCGCTTTGAGGTACCGCTTGACGATGGCGAAGCGGAAGTCATCCTCAATACTACGAGGATTCCATTCTCCCCGGCCTTGGAGGGGTACCCTGAACCTTCTGTCATCCACGAAGACAGGTACATCAGCGGCTACCTCTTCAACGAATCGACTCTGGGAGACACCGCTGTACTGGCTGTGAATGTCTTTGTGTCCCAAAACGGAACCGCTAGAACTGTTCTTGAGGCGCTCGAAGATCCCATCGAGTTTGCCAGAGTTGTTAGCGAGTTCGTCGACAGGAGCAAGAGCCAGAATAAATCTAAGCTTATCATAGATTTGCAGGGCAACGGTGGTGGTCTTGTGGCCAACGCAATGAGCCTATATGCAACACTATTCCCCGAGGCTGGCGCAGAAGCGCACATGAATATGCGAGTTCGGGCGCACGCTGCTTTGAATTGGGTCGGAAGAACTGCTGAGAGACTAGGCGCAAACCTAAAGACCCTTCCTTACCCGATTGGTTTCAATGGCTTCGTCGACGAAGATCTGAAAAACTTCACAAGCTGGGAGGACTTCTACGGCCCTGAGACAATCGAGGGCAGCAATTACACCAATGTTGTGCAACCATTGGAAGTATCCTACGCCCGTACCGGCTTGCCCGGCATCTTCGAGATCCCGGAGCCGTGGTTCAAGCCAGAAGACACAGTCATTCTCACCGATGGTCACTGCGCGTCTGCCTGTGCCTACATCGTCGGCATGATGACTCGGGAGCTAGGCATCCAGGTCGTGGCTATGGGGGGACGACCTATCGATGCGCCGATGCAAGCCGTTGGAGGAACCAAGGGTGGACCAGTCACTTCGCTAGGACCCTACCAGACCATTTATCCTGCCCTTGGAGCATTCGTCAAACCTCCAGAGGGAATCGACATGACGCCCTTCGCCGAGCCGAACCCCCCGCTCGCGGGCTTACCTACGGACACATGGACCGTCAACTCGGCCAACATCTATCTCGATGACGATCTCGATGGCGTTCCGGTCCAGTTCAGATATGAGGCGGCAAACTGCAAGCTCTACTATACCTGGCAGACCTTGACAAACATGACTAATTTGTGGACCGCGGTGGCAAATGTCAAGTGGAATGGCGCCAAGTGTGTGCCGGGCTCTACCACCAACGACGGCGACACCATGGGAGGAGTGCCTGAATATACGGACAAGGTTGTCTCGAATTTCAGATGGGCAGCCGGTCCTGGAGACGCGAATGCGGCACCAGGCTCGGGCAATGGAGATGTCGGAAACGGTGGTAACAAAAATGGGGATTCTAGTGACGAGGATGAAAATGCTGCTGGCTCGTTGCGGGCTAGTTGGAAAGTGCTGGCCCTTGTGCTGTCTGTTTCAACGATGCTGTTTGTCATGTGATAGAAGACCGGAAATCCTGAGACACTTGGGTGGATGACACCAGGAAAGCAGAAACATTAGACACATCTAACGCAAATTTTCATGCAAAATGCGCAGCTTACTCCATATACCCGGTTCGTCTTTATTTAATGGAAAATACCTTAGTGGAGAGCGGCAAGCTGTGTCTATCCAACCCATCAGATGACTTTTGGAGTGCGCTTTGTTCGCTCTCAATCTCAATTCAGTCTTCTTGCTAGTAAAAGGACACATATGCGTAGTAATCACTCTCAAGTGACTTGTTGAATAAACTCTGCTCCCCCTTAGCCACTCCTGACCTGTCCTGGCACTTTCCATCCCACTACTCAGACTGAGAGTCTCACAACTCCCAATCGCTCTATTTCTGAACATCTGTGGTTGATACCAGTACGATGTGGAGTTCGGCCGTGCCTTCGACAAAATTCGCAGTATGCTGCTTGTCCAGCTCACCTTCGTGATACGAAGCTCCTTCAACTTTGGCACCAACTCCGGATGACTTGTCAGCGCCTCGAATACTATGTTGTGGCCCGTATTCGAATGTTTTCTCAAGGCAGTACCGATGTGAAGATTTGTGAGGTCAGGGCAATGCTCGCACAGGGCAAAGAACGCCTTTTTTTTTGTTAAGGCCCGATGTGCCTGGGAGGGGAAAGATTTTCAGCTTCGGACAAGTGTGGGCTATCTTGATGCCATCGTCGTTAGTAAGTTCCTTGGTAGAGTGAGTCGCGTCCTAGTTTACGTCACGATAATCGAAGCTGAATGAAGTGAGGCGTTCCCAGGTTTCCTTGAAGGAGAGCAGCATGCGGATGTAGCTAAGGTACAGATAGAACTATTCTGGGGGTTCCGGAAACAGAAGCTTCAGAAGTATGAGTGGCTGCACTGGGACAAGTATATACAGGCCAGCAATTAATCCATCGTGCGTTATCTTAAGCTATCCCTTTAGTCATGTATTTGCCTCCACTATGTTTCGTAGTCTTCCTCTGGCCTTCCACCAAAACCTTTTTGTTTAAGTCATAATAACTGAAGGAAAATCGTAGATTCTACTAATGTCACAAAGCACCTTAAGGCTATATCGGAAGAAGTTCCGATCTTTTTGCGCAGGAGCGCCTCTCCACTCATTTTACCATAAGTTTTTCCCGAAAGGCGACGGATCCCCCCCCCCCCCCCTCGGCCTGCGCGCCTGATAACAAAAGAAAATCTAAAATTATCCATAGTTGGAACGGCAAAAAGTCAAAGCCAATTGGAATGTCTCGCCTATAAGCCGTCTGACTCGTCGGAATGCAGTAAACTCTGTAACGCATGAGTGACTGCTTCACCCGGCCGCCCACTGTGATCCTTTGATGCGGCCGTCATTGTGGGCGGCCGAGTTTTAGGTATTAGCAGTTGATCACTTATGAGAGAAGTGCAAGCTTTAGGCAGGGAGTTCTGAACAGACCAACAGAGCAAGACATCGAGGCAAATGACCTGGTGGGCGACCAATACATTGAAAGCATCAATATATCCTGGGTCGAATTGACAGGCCTTATGGAGATCTGCCGAGATGTGTTCGTCCAAGGGCGAACACAAAACTAACCACATCTCAGAAGAAGCATCCCTCGGGGCGAACAACATGAAACCGGGGAAATGCACTAACGTTTCCAGGGATTGTGTTCGATTCTCGCTGTATAATTCATACCGTTGGGTATTAGTGCCCAAAGCAACTGGAAAGAAATACCCACATCAACGATACGTCAATGGTGAAAGAAATTCTCGATATGGCTCCTGTGGTCAAGGGCCAAACACTCCTGGGCAAGCTCGATACGACTTTACAAATTTCTTGCCAACCAAACGCGAAGGGGAGCTCAGAGTCCTTCGCTCTTTAGCTTTGAGTGATGGCCAGCCTGTGGCACGCAGTGCGCCTACTTGGTGTATGTCAAAGCGATGCAGAGTGAACAACGTGCGAAGGAATCGCCGAACTATAATACTGACTCAGAGACTTTGACTTTCCCACGATCACTATGAGGACCGTGGACTGTATCAACCTGCCTAGAATGGTGCTTGAGCTTGGAAAGCGATTATTCATGATATCGTAGACAATCATTAAAAATGAGCAATTCGGTACCTACCCATCGATTGCATCAGTCACTCACTTCACTCATTCTCTTATCACCACATTCGCTACATCACTTCCAGATTTGCGTTGCCGACAAAATGAAGTCCACAATTGTTTCCGCTGCTGTCATGATGTCCTTTGGCACAGCTCTGGCTGTTGAACTAGTCTGCTACGGCACTGGAGTCCCCTCGCCCATCGGAAAGGGCGACATCGAGTACGCCATCAGGAACCGGTCTGCCGAACTGGGCATTCCTGGAGGTACTAAGTTTTCGTTCCGCTGGAAGACTTGCACCACTCCTGAGAATAGCCCCAAGGATGTTGCTGTGATCACAACACCTAGCAGTAAGTGACCATCTTAGCTTTAGAGGTCGTACATTCCAGGGCTGCTCGTTGAAGTGCGCCTCAACTTCAACTGACCACACGTTTTTACACCGTATAACGGTTGCTAATTACTGTAACCTAGTTACTCGAGAAGGTTCTGTCAAGTTGGCGAATGGCGTCATTGAGTGCAGCACATCCGGTCCCCCAGATTCCACGTGTTGAATGTAGACAGGAATTTGAGCGGTGTTTTCAGATGGAATATCAGAGAACACTTGCAGCAGGTTGATTTCTATCTTACTTACAGAGTTTGCAAATGAATTTAACTGCGTATGGAGTCCTGAATCTTATAACATTTCGGCGCTTCTGAGACATATGAGATCCACATCAATAAGGTAGGTCAATGAATGGAGACTCGCCAAAAAATCAACCCTAGATAGCAGAATTGCGAGCTCCAGGCCACTTTAAGTATGATTCCAAGGCAGGGCTGGGAATTGTTCGTGAGAGGTCACACTGATCACAAAATACCCTTTCTATGGTATGCTATGACATCTCGGATTCCAATACATTTGCGCAGTTGTTGAGATACCAAGGCTCTTTTGACGCGTATGTGGGTATATCATTCACCTCTGACAGCAATAAGAACATGAAAGTGGCAAGCATCTTGAGAAGAGAAAGGTCGCAATAAGAGAGGAAACATTCATGTGTTATTTACAAATAGGAACTTGCAACAAGGATGGTAGAGGCGAGACGGGGACTGATGATGCAAACATAATGGCATGATCCCTTACGTCGAAGCTTGTAGATGATGCAAAAGCGCTGTGATTGTACCAACAATGGTAGCAAAGAAATTGGCAATCCACAGTTGCCCACCGAAACATCCGTTAAAGCCCCTGACTTGTGCTTGATTGCATCACAAGCAGCGCGTGTCACATTGGAATGAAGTCAGAGGTATAGATCACTACACTCGAGCTTTCAAGTCAGGCGAGTTATCCACTCTCTAGAGCTACTTTGTTTTCACGGACACATTTCGGGGGTCACCTCAAGTGTGCAAGCCTACCTTCATTCGAGACCTATCACCTGCCAATTCACTTACTTACCATGGATTAGCGGAATAGTATGGGGCTCTGAGGAAACAACCAAGAGTTGACAAGAGTTCGCATGAGCAGTCAGCTAGATACAAGGTAGAACCGGTCGTTTCCCTTCAATTCTCTGGCTCAGAGAGGGCTCAGATCTCACTATAAGCATACTGGTAAATATTGCACTATTTGCTATGACTTGATGTATATAACCAATTTTGTTCTCACATGAGCGAACGACGAACATCTGTACAAATGTGGGAAGTCAAGGTATCTGAGCTACGCGTTTCATTAATCATGGCGCGAAGCCCATGGAAGTAAGAATGAAGCCAACGCCACCTATTTAGTTGATCCAACGCCATGGGGCAAGATGCCCTTTGAACTCATTTTATTGTCGCGCAGATGAGTAACCTGATAAGCGCCGCTGCGGTCTGCTAGGAGAAAGCAGGGATTGGAGTTACTTAAGCTCAATGGAGAGATACGACGGAGATGACTTACTATCTGCGGAGACCCCCTTGTAGGGCTAGTGCGGCTTCTCCCAATGTGGTGTGTGAGCCGTGGAAGCTCACAGCAAAAAAGTCAAAAAGAATTAAGCACTCTAAATCTGAAACGACTCGGATGCCCGGCTCAAAGGGTTCCACTCGCCCTTTCGGATCCGGCACGGCGCAAACGGCACGCAGGCCTGGCCAGGCTCTGCCCCAGAAAGATCGTCCTCATCCAGGCAAAGCCAAGACTTTGGCAGCTTGGGTGAAGGAAACAAATCAACTTCGTGTCTTCAGAGGGGGGTTTGGTTTCAAAGAACCATCAACATGGAATCATCAACAGGATATTGAGTTAAGCATCGTTGATGGCTTTTGATGGCTTCAACTAAATCTAAGATTGCAACGGTTGAACCTTAACCTAATCCTCTAGTTCTTGATGGTTTAATGACACAATCCCGGGAGTGCGCTGATTTCGAAAAGTAACGTGCTCATTTACCCGCGTGGTTGGCCCAATATTTGCCCACTGCGCCGCATCCATCCCTTTACCTCCCCGGGAAGTCTAACCAACAAAGACACAAACATCAGACGAACCGCCAGATGAACCGCCGGGCAAAGTGGCGAATCACCAAAGGAACCACTCTAGAACGCCGCCAAGGAAATGAAGGAGGAGAAACCAAATGAAGGGAGAGCAGGCAATATCCTAGTAACACCACCAGATCGTGCCTCGCGTGTCCACAAACAAGCAATTCTGCCCCTCACGTCACCTCCCACGGGGGCCAAACCGGTGCGAGAGGGCGATGGGGCGACTCAGCGGATGCAGTGGCCCCACGAACCTCATCCACGTAGCAGGGATCTCGACCTTCAACGTTCCGGCCAGTCGGCACCATGATCGGTCTAGGTTGCATTGGGATGGTAATCTTGACTCCAGGAGTAACGCAAATATAAGACCTCGAGCCAGACTTCATCTCTGGGAAAAAGATGACCGCTGTTCGTTGCATCCCACCAAGTTTCTTCTTCTCCCTCGTTCAGGGCCTTACACTCTTTTGCATAACCACGTTCATTCACAAACATTAGTCACTCTTTTTCAGACTTACACGCACTCTCTTTTTTGCCCTGAATCTGGAATTCATCATGAAGGGACTCATCCTCAGCACCGCTCTCGTCAGTGGAGCCATGGCCGCGGCCGGCCCCTACATGCCCTGCGGCGGCAAAGGATTCACCGGCGAGACGACCTGCGTGTCCGGTTACACGTGCACAGTCCAGAACGAATACTACAGCCAGTGCGTCCAAGGAAGCGCCGCCGGCGCCGTCAGTGCCCAGGCCCAGGCCACCACCCTGAGAACATCGACGAGACGGTCTTGTAAGTCCAAACCGGCTTACGCCAGCGACGCCGCGCCGCATGTGCCCGCGACGACCAGCTCGCCTTCTTCGACCTCGGTTCCCCCGGTGGTTGCTGTGTCATCATCCGCGAAGCCTGTTGACACCAAGCCAGCTTCGTCGACGTCTACTCACGCCGCTTCCATCGTCATCCCCGTCAAGTCTTCGAGTGCTCCTGTCAAGTCTTCGACTACTTCTGCCAAGCCCTCTGCCGCTGAGGTGAAGCCTACCACCACTGCTGCCAAGCCCTCGACTACCGCTGCCGCTGCGGTCTCATCGGCTGCTCCCGTCACTACCAAGGCTTCTTCGTCTACTAAGACTGCCGCCCCTACCTCGGCGTCTGCCCCTGCTGCGTCCGCTTCTTCAACCCCCGTCAAGACGGGAAAGTTCAAGTGGTTCGGTATTAACCAGTCTGGTGCCGAATTCGGTCCCGGCTCCCTGCCCGGTACCGTCGGCAAGGACTACGTCTTCCCTGACACGAACTCCATCACTGTGAGTAAATGAGAACTTGGGGGTTAGATAATGGGCCTGGCCATTGACTTACATGTTCTAGACCCTCTTGAACGATGGATACACGACCTTCCGTGTCAGCTACCTGATGGAACGTCTCGTTCCCAGCGGTCTCACCGGCACCTTCGACGCCGCCTACCTCGCCGGCCTGACTAAGGCGATTGAGCACATCACCTCCGCCGGCGGGTACGCCGTCCTCGACGCCCACAACTACGGTCGCTTCCAGAACAACATCATCACCGACACCGCCGCCTTCAAGACCTACTTCACCAACCTAGCCACGCAATTCAAGTCCAACGCCAACGTCGTGTTCGACACCAACAACGAGTACAACTCCATGGACCAGGACCTCGTTCTCAAGCTCAACCAGGCCGCTATCGACGGTATCCGCGCCACCGGCTCCGAGAACTGGATCTGGGCCGAGGGTAACTCCTGGACGGGTGCTCACAGCTGGACGAGCGTCAACGACAACATGAAGGGCCTGACGGATCCCCTCGACAAGACCGTCTACGAGATGCATCAGTACCTCGACAGCGACAGCAGCGGTACTTCCGCCGACTGCGTTTCCGCCACCATTGGAGTCGAGCGTGTCAAGGACGCCACCGCGTGGCTCCGCAGCAACAAGAAGGTCGGTGTTCTCGGCGAGTTCGCCGGCGGCGCCAACGTTCAGTGCAAGGAGGCCGTCGCCGGTCTGCTCGACTACCTCCAGGAGAACAGCGACGTGTGGCAGGGCGCGGCGTTCTGGGCCGCTGGATCGATGTGGGGCTCTTACATCTTCTCTTTCGAGCCCAAGACGGGCACTGGATACAACTACTACAACGAGCTGTTGAAGACGTATCAGTAGAGGGTCGCATAGAACCGCGATGACCCAAAGCAGCTATATCAACTCCGGGAGAAGTTGACTTTATTTCTTCTGTATAAATTATATCCATTTCAGGATATTTTCGTGACGCCTGGCTAGGACAGCAGGTGACATCTCGAGATTGTCGTGATGGCTTCAACCAGCCAAGGGTTAATGCCCGTCACATAAGCTGATTACATATTCATAGTGATAAACCATGGAGAGGCCGGCGCAGTCGACCATTTTCGATTCTTGTATCTAGAAATTCACTATATTCCGCTTTCGACCTGCACCCGATCTGTCTTATTTTGTTGCCTCAATCGCGGCACCAATCGTGACTAATCCGCGAGTATGATGTACAATATGTTCTTTCCCTGTCTCATTGGACAGCACAAAGATCTGCCGTCCGACATCAATGCAGAACCCTCCTTGCAGAGTCCTCTTTCAGTGCCTCTGAGCCACTTATTCATCACCCTCATCAGTGTGGTGAAAGTTTTGCTCGGGTCAGTCAAAATATCAAAGTCCCACGCGCTGGCAGGTGCCATTTCCCCTCGAGCTAATGCGTGTGGCAGAGTGCCCATGCAGGTACAGCCACAAAACCGACCAACAACAATTCTTGATCAAGAAACGAACCAACAGAGTGCCTGACAAGAGCCAAAGTCGGATCTGACAGGCTGGGGGGCCGGGTCCAACGTGCCGTGATTGTGTTACGATTCGATTAGATTAGGTGCCATCACGGGGGCTACAAACGGGTGTGCTGCCTGATGGTGGCTGAGGATCCCTGTCGAAGGCTCTAGAAACTAACCGTAAGCAATGTTGTGGTCCGAATCCCTTCAAAGTTTGGTCCAGGCAGAGTAGGCAACAGGCCCCCGCTGACAGTGGCACAGCTTAGAATCGCGAGTATAAATGCCAGATGATGCTTCTACCCAGAACTCGTTGTTGCCTGCTATTGTCACGGTCTTGCAAAATCCAACATTCCTAACGCTCGTTGGAATCACAGGCCAAAAAAGTCGCCCGCTCAAATCCGAAAAAATTGAAACCACAGAGACACATCCTCGCAAACTATTCACTTAAGCATATTATACCTGAGAACATGGTGTCTTTCAAAGTCGATGGAACCCCGGTGGACGATCCGCCGTTCAAAGGCCCGAGACCGGCCCCACAATCGGGGCCCTCTACGGCCTGGTCCGGCCCCCCAGGGAAGGCCAGCATCCTCACCCGCCAATTCGCCGCTCTTCCCCTCATCGCACTTCTCTATACCGCTGCCGTACCATTCACGCCGGTAGTGTGGGTCCTCAACATTGACGGAAGCTCCCTCTTTGATCGCCTCTTCGCCGGCATCATCATGCTGTCGGCCTGCTATTTCCAGTGGCGCATCGCGGGGCTGACCTCGCCCCTCGCCGTCTTTCTTCCCGGCCCCAGCAACACAACTATTCGCAACGGACGTATCGAGACTGGGTCGAATATGGGATTTGTGTGGCATCCCGGCAACTACTGGCCCTATGTCATCTGTGAGGCAATGCTCTTGTGCGTTGCCGAGTTTGGCGGAAACGAGTTGGTGAGACGAGGCATCGTTTGCGGCATTATTGCTGGGTTGTGGCTGGTTGGTTATCATGCGACTCCTGAGTCTACAAGACGATGGGCTTATGAGAATATCAAGGGTTGGCTGTTCTGGATGGTTTTAGATGAGATGATGCGTGTTGGGGGGAGGAGTTACAGCGGACGTCGTCGGAGATGAGGGGAATACCTTAGCCTACCTTATGGACTACGACGAGATATCTCACTTACATGTTAAATACCAGGAAAGGGATATAATTCAAAGACTTGTCAGACAAGAAAGAGTGCCAGCTTTCGACTTGTTTTTAAATGGGCAACTATTCCATCGCTCACTTGGCGGAAAAGTGACCCAGAATTGAAATGCACGTATCCAAGGATACAGTTACAGGTGTCCTGGAAGAAGCATTGATGCGTATAAGGGGGCTCGGTTTCGGGTGCTTACATCAGCGGCTGGGTCGCATTCGTGCCGATATCGAGAACCCACATATCGGCATTCCCCGCCACCTAAATCCGATTACCCCAACCGGGCCGCGATGGTTCCTGGATTTTTTCTCGTAAAACCCCCACACCCGTTAATCGATTGCAGTTACGGAGTACTCCGTACGAACCACCTTACAACTTTCCATTGAGCTTGATCAACCAAGCAATTTGGTTGCTTTAACTCTGTCGTTCAAAAAGCTTGCTTCTGAGAAGCTGTCGTATTGGATCCTCAGGCGCAACCGAGCATCCCGAAAGTCATCCGACAAGAGCCCTATGTGGTTACTGATCAGCGCGTCCAAGTGGACATGGACTCTTTCCTGAAGCAGCAGGTGCCATTGCACAAGGGCAACAACGAGATTAAGACGTCTTGGCAAACCACAAGTCCTTCTTTCTCTCGTAAAGAGCAGAACAATACATCAATGAAGGTCCGCAATGAGATAACGTCGGGGCGGGGGAGGAACGTTCATGAGGTCAGAGATGCAAGGTCGGTGCTACCTCAATGACAGCGTCGCGTCTGGTCTGCTGTTCAAGTACTTATCTATTGCCAGTCTCCTCCGTCGCCTACTCTCTTCCCTTGCCTTGCTGGCTTCTGTGAGCATCTGTTGGTGTCTGGTTCGAACGTCACCGCTCAATTTCCATTCCATCTTGGGCGACATGCAGTTCCGCGATGGCAACAGTGGCCTTCAGGCCGTCCTGGGAGCTACTCTGGGTGCCTTCATTGCCGGCCCAGTTGCTGCGGCGTCGGGCAGCCCGTACACGCCTTTCGTTCCGATTGATCCCCAGGACTGGGTCAACCCGGACAACATGACTTGGGGTGACTTCATTGCACCGCCAGGCACGAATTGGTCAGACCCAGCGCGCAAGGGGTCCAGCCGCAACTTCAACATCGCCCTTGTCGTCGTCGACTACCCCGACAGACCGTTCGTCATCACCCAACCGGCGCACTCGACCATCTTCAACAACCCTCAACCTGCAGGTGCTGACATTCCTCGGGAGAACGTGCCGACCTTCTATCGCGACCTTCTCAACACGCCGAATGAGCTGAATAATGGCCACACCCTTCACGAGTACTGGATGGAGGACTCGGTCGGCCGCTTTGGAGTCGATCTCACTGCCTTCGGTGCTTACCAGCTCTCTGGCAACGGCTACCAGTATGGGATCGATGGCGGCTTTAACCCAGGCGCCTGCCCCGAGGGAGAGACTTGTGACCTAAACATTCGTACCGATGCGCTCGCCGCTTGGCGTGCGGAGGTTGGAAACGCCACCGCCGATGCCTTTGAGTTGGTCTTCATCCTCTCTGCCGGCCAAGACGAATCCTCAACATGGCAGGAGTTTGGCGAGATGAAGTTCAACGGTCCCGAAGACGTACCAGACGAGTTCGGCCCACCGAAGAAAACGAACAGCTCGCAGACCAACTATGCGCGCACACGCTACGTTCCCTGGACATCCTGGGCGGCGGCATCGACACTCTGGCCCAACGCCGGCGGTGGCTCGTCTACTCAAGGCGAGAGCTCTGGCATGGCTGTCTACGCACACGAGCTGAGTCACTTGCTCGATATCGGCGACAATTACAATAACCCGTACGGTCTCCCCCTGCGTAGAGCATACACTGGGCCGTGGTCCATGATGTCGCGCGGCTCTTTCAACGGTCCAGGCGGTCCTCACACCCGCTGGCAGATTCCGGCGTTGCAGGGCGCCTCGATGGGCTCGTTGCATACTTTGCGCGACAAGTTCCAGCTCGGGTTGATTGACAAGACTGATATCCTGTGGCTGTCTCGCGAGGGGCTGGCAACCTCTGGCGTTGCCGTTGCTAACCTTGTTGCTCGGTCTGTTGACCCGGGCGACGGATTAATGGGTGTCCGCATCATCATGGACGGTGACCGATCCCCGGCATGCAACATCACGACCGAAGTGCTTTGTGACGGCGGTAGCTGGGACAATTATGACATTGAAGTTGTGGACCGCATGGGCTCAGACTCTTTCCAGCCGGATTCCGGCGTCCTGCTCAGCAAGTCCAAGAACGTCGACAACCAGCCCTTCCAGTGGGTCATTGACGCGAACCCGGAGGATATTGAGCTCGTTGACTTTTATCGGCCCAACGGCTCCGTGGCAATGATTACCCTTGGCGACTATCGTCAGCTCGCTGACGCGCTCTTCCACGCAGGCACGAACTCCGGCAGCGGGTTTGAGTTCATCGATGTGCCTAACAGTTTGCACTTCTACATCGTCGACCGCCACCGCGACGACGAAGGCATTCTCTCATACACAGTCGCCATCCGCTCCCTGACCGGCGAAGGCGGTGCGAGCACCCACGATGTCTCGCTTGAGAATGGCGCCGTGACGGGCGCCAAGAACGGCACGACTACTAGCCAGGGCGTGACGTGCTCATTCCAGCTGACCAACAGCGGCACCTACGTAGCCGTCGACCCCGACGCGGCCCAGCACCCCGAGGACGTTTCTGCCTTCCTGGGTTCGGACGTCTACAGGCTGAGCGCCGAGGTTGAGGGCACCGGCTGGCGTGTGGATTTGCCCAACGCGCTTGTGACGGCCAAGTTCGGCGAGATCAAGACGGCGTATGTTTCGGTTGGCGCCGCGTCCGATGCGGCGAGCACAGCGGTGGTGACGCTCAAGGCGACGTCGGAGTCCGATCCATCTGTAGCGGCGACGGCGCAGTGCCAAGTGACCAAGTCATGAGGCTTTGACTTGCGGGGTGGAAAACACATATATCGGCATGCTTACTTTGCCGAGCATCGTCAATCGATTACGTACTTACCTAAGAAGCCGTATCCGAAGCTTTTCGTTCTGCTGCATGATCGAGGCCCGCCAACGTGGGGTTTCTGCCGTGACTCGATGCAATGCAGTCCCGCTGCGGGGCCGCTTAGGGCTAATCAGCCCGTTCCCACGCCGGATTCTTCATCAAATCATCACGATCAATCGCCCAGATCGTCTAGTTGGTTAGGATGATACGTTGTGGTTCTTCTATACAGCGATCCGTGTTGACGGCGGTTCGAATCCGCCTCTGGGCATTGAAACCTTTTGCCGTTTGGTGATGTTACGACGGAGGCTTTTTTCGTAGATTTTGCCGGCAGACTGGGGAGCAGGGGGGCCATGATCGGAAACTGTGAGAGACCTCACCTGAGAGTGAGCTGGATGTAACTAACTGATCCCCGGAAACCAAGAAACGCCGCTGCCAAGCGTAGTCCCCTTTTGGTTGATTGACTGGAGAGAAACTCGTAGAAGAGTTAAAGCTTCATCAGTTTATTGTATTTATCTAGGCATGTGAGCATTACTTTTATGGCAGTATTTTATCTAAAATCTTTCGAAAGGGCATTTGGATCGTCCCTAAATACCCTCCTCATTACACGCGAGTATATTCCTTCTCGACACAGCGATATTTTGCTGTTCATTTGCCGCGCGATTGATGAACTGGTCTCGTTTGCTATTTCGCATGACGTGCGCATCCTCCAGACTCGCACCATCCCCGCTGTCCCCGGCTCCGGCGCCGGCAGCGGACCTGTTCACCGCGAACCTTAAAGCTTTCGGACGTCATCGCTTACACGAGAGTAGAGTCAAGTCAATCTTATTCATTACCACAAAAGCAACTAGCCCAAGTAGATAGCCGGGTCTAAGCAACTCTCTCTCACATCTAGCTCGCCATGCCACCCACGAGCAGCTTCAGCGAAATACCTACAATAGACCTCTCCCTCGCCCAAGACCCCGCAACAGAGGCCGACTTACTCAACCACCTACGCCACGCTCTCACCAACGTCGGGTTTCTATACATCATCAACCATGGAGTCCCCGAAAAGATAATTTCCGATGTCGTCGATGCACTGCCAAAGTTGTTCGCGCTGCCACAAGAGGCAAAAGCCGAGATTGCCCTGAGCAATTCCCCGCACTTTCTGGGATACAGCGGTGATGGCGCGGAGACGACGGCGGGGAAGAGCGATCGGAGAGAACAGGTAGAGTTCGCTACCGAATTACCCAGTGGGTTAAAGGAGGGTCTGCCGTTGAGAGAAATGCTACGTGGACCGAATCAGGTGAGATTTGATGGGTAATCTTTGATGTTTACCTCTCTGGTCAGTTTCCTGATCAATCATAGTGGCCGTCTTTATACCCAGCGCTACGTCCCATTGTCGAATCGTACATATCAGAGATGACCCGTTTGGGAAACCGCTTTCTCATCTTAGTAGCCAAAGCACTCTCCCTCCCACCCGAGACCTTCATCTCCTATCTTTCAGACCAACACCGCCTGAAACTAGTTCATTACCCCGGCCTTCCGGAAGACGAAGCAGGCAGCCAAGGCGTGGGCCCGCACAAGGACTCGTCTGGGTGGTGGACCTTCCTTCTCCAAGCCTCACCACCGCATATCAAGGGCCTACAAGCTCTTAACAAAACCGGCGAATGGATCGACGTACCAGTGCTACCGGGCTCCTTTGTCGTCAACATTGGCCAAGCGTTTGAGGTGGTGACGAACGGGGTGTGTAAGGCCACGACGCACCGCGTGCTGTCTGAGCATCTCGAGAGGTTCAGCGTGCCGTTTTTCCAGGGCGTGAGGAGGGATCTCACCAAGGAGGAGGCTGTGGGATCTTTGAGAGAGCATTTTGCGAAGTCGGAGATTAGGGGATTGGTGTCAGAGTCTGAGGAGGGGAGGGAGATTGATTCGGCGTTCTTGAAGGGAAAGTATGAGACGTGGGGGGAGAGTCAGTTGAGGACGAAGATCAGGAGTCATAGGGATGTTGGGAGGAAGTTCTACGCAGATGTGTTTGAGAAGTATGTGAACGATGATTGATGCATGTGGCTTCTCCTGTCAGGCACAAAAGTAGTTAGTATAGCTTCAGCAGGCTCGTTGGCATCTATGTAAAACCTGGAATGAGTCTAGACTTTGCATACAGGATGCAGCATTTACCAAAGGATCTACTCGGAGAAAAGAAAATGAGACTTCAACGTTCATGTGAATTTTGATGCTTCTTTGTATGCTGTTCAATACTTCTTCATCTACCTCGAGGTACCTTCAGTCGTAATACTTGGCCTTTACCCCTCTGACAATCTCCTGCTCAGACACCTCGCTTCTTGTTTGGTTCCGATTTACTCCGGCCCTGACACGAGCCTTCACCCATTCACCGGCTGTGATTCCAGCCACAGCCGCATTCTCGTCCGCATTGTAGCCCAGCCTCTCAAGAACCTTGCTCTGAACCGGTCTCAGCTCGAGACTGTCTTCAGGCCGTACGAAATACAGGACACCTAGACGGTCAATTCCCGCCTGATCTGGGGGAGGGGCAACGACGCGATGAATGCTGCTTTTCAGGAACCCATTACTCAGAAATTCTAGCGCGTCGGCTACATTCACAGTGATGCTGCCGTCGTATGGTTTGACCCTGCTTGGTGTCAATGCGGCTTCCACAGGAGACAGCAATGCAGGATTTTTCCCAAGGCGAAATGTCAACATACCACTTCCAACTGCCATCTTTGCCTCGCACCTGGAGAGCTGCAACAGGCTGCCTGAACAGCAGGGTCAGACTCCCAAAGTCGGTGTGGCCTTTGACCCAGACGTTTTCTAGTCTTTCGTTGGTCTCTACGTCTCGTGCATGGTACTTCATGTATCTCAAGTGACAGTCCGACAATGCCTCATCATAACGATGGCGGGCGGCGAAGTGATCCTCTGGTAGCTCCAGTATGATTGCAAACAGCGTAAGTAGCCTATGCACAATTTCGTTGTGAATGTGACGTGCGAAATGCTCAATGTCTGCTCTGTTTTTGTCGATCACCTCGGGTTGCGGACGCTTGTAGGCAGGGATGAACTTTGGGATGTTGAAAATTTCCGTGTTGTCAAAGACTCCGGGCCTTATTTCCTGGATCGCGAGTATTAACATAAAACAGATGATGAACAATGTCCAAATCTAACGATGTGAACACTTACTCTTAGGCCAAGAGGTTTGTAGCCGTTATAACCGCCGTTTTCTAGGTCGGCACGATACTTGAGCTTTTCTTCAGTGGGTAATTCGAAAACAGACTTTCCAATCGCGAATTGGCGATCGACCTCTTCTTGACTCAAACCAAAATTGACAATGTAGAAGAATCCAATTGTTTGGATGGCATCAAAGAGCTGTTTCGCCAGCGCTTCTTTGCCACCCGGCTGGTCAAACTTTGAAAGATCAAGTGTAACTAAGTCTGCCCACTCAACTGTGGATGTATTCCAATAAGCTTCAAAGTTAATGGTAATCATTGACTCCTCGTATGCTCACGTTCGTATTTGGTCTCTGGGACCTGGTGGTACACAGGAAGAGTATTATTCTCATGGTTGCGGGGCACTGGGTTTATTTCCACCGTTGCAGCCATCGCTGAAGTTGGAACCGGAGTCTCGAGCAAATATCGAAGCTACTAACGTTGATGCGGACAGTCTACCATCTAGACTTTTACAAGTCCGCAACTCCATAATGCACTGGATCATTCACTATCTTATGTGCCACCAACGACCCATCTCCGCACTCAGCCTCTCTGATGGTGTTGGTGTAGGATGGCGACATCTCGCCATCGCGGGGTATGATTGCGAATGCAAGGATCTTCGACGGACGTCGTCCGCTTACCTATTTGACGCAGTACTGTCGTCAGAGAATTGCCCAATGATCATAATAGAGGCCCCAGCAGCCCATCAACCCCCCCCCCCCCCCCCAACCCCCCACGAAAGAATGGTCATAAAGAGATCAAGAAGTATAGACTTATCGCGAAAGGTTGTCCCGAGGGCTTAGATGCTGCTGCTCGTACTGCCTTGGCATACTTGATACGATCCATGCACGTGTCTACATGTGGCCAATAATGGCACACAACACCCCCGTTATCTTCATTGCTCGCGATTTCGGGAAAGATGACATGATCGGTAGTAGAATGCAGGCTCGGCTTATTTCCGCCAGACTTCTCAGTTCTGAGTCCAATGAGGTTCTTGGCGAATAGCGAATTACTTGACCACAGCCCTCAATAAGTACTAATGAGCACATCAGGCCTCACGTCCACTCGCAATGACTCTACGTCTTGAGACTTGGATCTTTTAGTGATTTACTATAAGATCAGAGCATTACTTTCTTTCATAATGGCCGACGCGAAGGACATTCCGACCAGAACGATCCACTTGCCTGGCGGCGGCGGGGCCAGCAAAGACGGCCTGACATTTGCTCGACGTGGTGAGCAAATCGACGAATTGACCAGCGGAGATGTTTCTGGCTTTGATGCCGAGAGAATGAGAGCCAGGTCTCTTCTCACAGCTGATGAGGAGAAGAAGCTCATGCGACGTGTTGACCTGAGGATAATGACGATATGCTCTCTGCTCTTTCTGATGAAGAACATCGACTCTGACAATATTTCGAATGCGAGGATCATGAACAAAGGAACACCAAGAAACATTATGACGCAGCTTAATATGACTTCCGACGAATACAACCTTTTGACGGTGTTATACTACGTATGTTTGAGTCGCACCTAATTCACCGAGCTTGCAGCTAACTGAGGTGGTTCAGGTACCCTACATTGTTCTGGAAGCGCCATCAAATCTTCTGTTAAAGCGACTCAGACCGAGCGCTTGGCAATCGAGGGTAATGGTTTCCTGGGGCATTGCGCTTCTCTGCCACGTTCCCGTCACCAACAAAGGCGGTATCTACGCTACTCGATTCCTCCTTGGTGCAGTAAGTTTAATCTTTTTATGGGATATCATTGAAGTTACCGACGTTTCTAACAATGAGTAGTTCGAAGCAGGAATGTTCCCAGGGGTTATCCTTCAGATGACCTATTGGTAAGCTTTGTCTAGCAGCTCTTCCAACCGACTGATTGAATAACCCCTTGACAGGTACAGACCGGACGAAATGTCAATTCGCCTGCTTTATTTTTGTGAGTAACCCCTAGGTCAAGTGCAATAGCCGTGCGAAATCTAACAAGCGAGGTAGATATCCTCGGGAATCTCTCCGGAATTTTCAGTGGTATTCTCGCGTTTGCATTCGATACTGTCTCTGGATCAAGAGGATTGTCAGGGTGGCAGTGGTAAGGCACCACTGAATATGAGCCGTCAGAATGCTGACTGCAGAATCGCGTAGGCTATTCCTCGTGGAAGGTCTTATAACTCTCGTTTTAGGCACTGCGGTTTATTTTCTCCTGCCTGACTGTCAGTTTGAATCCTTTCCAACCTGCTGACAATTGTTCTAGTTCTAACAAAATCTTGTTCTAGTCCCTCCCACCGCGAAGTGGCTGTCTGAAAAAGAGAAAGCTTTCATCCAAGCACGACTTCCACCCAATGCTCCAAGAGCTGAGGAGATGAACTTCAACTTCAGCGAAATTGTGGACTCTCTTAAAGATCGACGTCTATGGCTCTTCACTCTCATTTGGGCCACGTTCACTGTTGGCACATCTGGTGTCCGTTTCTATCAGCCAACGGTCATTGCCAATCTCGGGTTTACGACCATCGCCCGAGCTCAGTTACTCAACCTGCCGATCTCGCTCTTGTCCATCTTTGTCATCGGAGTAACGGGCTTTTTCGCTGACAAAGGAACCGTGCCGCGACCTCTCTATCCCTTGGGCGTTTTCGCTGTCGTAATCGCGTGTTACGGAGTGTTGGTCGCCTATCCTTCCAATGGCGCCGTCTATGCCGCAACGCTCGTCGGCAACGCCTTTACGTCCGCCTTCTTCCCTCTCATGTGGCCTTGGCGCGTGCAGACAACTTCGCGAGCCACAGGGTCAGCCTTCAGCATCGGGTTTGTCAACAGCTACGGTCAAATAGGAGGTGCTATTGGCCCTCAGATCTTCAGGTCAAAGTATGCACCGCGGTATCAGACAAGTTTTGCAGTAGCGATGGCTCTGGTTGGATGCTGTGCCATTGTCACGCTGATTACGTGGTGGGCTACGAGAAAGACAGAGTCCGACACTCGGCGTCTGAAAAGAGCCAGAGTGCGTGCTGAGAGGGATGGCCTGGCTGTGTTGAATGATGTGGTGGATCAGGATCTGAATAAAAAGCGATCTGACGACGAAGAAAGCGCCTAGCTTGGAAGTCTTCCTCCTGCAACACAACATTGGGGGTATGAGCTGAGGTGGCTTGGAAATCCCGTCTGGAATCTAAACAATATTGCGTTATTAAGAATGCTGCATCGCCGGCCAAACGCTGCTTTCATTGATTTGGCTGGTAGCGCTGGTTTGTTTAGTTCGACGTCTGTGTGTATTATTCGCCCGCAAGTCTGTACACATACAACAATACGAATCTGATATACTACGAACGATGAACTCCAGCCCGAACATTATTGCTCTTATTTATCAAGGCTGAGCATTGAAAAAACTTTGATTTTCTGCAAGATCAATCGTCTTAAATGTCGTTATACTGGGGACTGATTCGCTATCGACGACGTTGACTCAAGGGAGAAGTGTCGAGCCTTTGGTGCACTGGCCCTCTTTGGTGATGGAACCATTTCAGTGGTTGATCCAGACCTCTCGTCAGATCTGCGTGACAGCGTTTTGATCCTTGAAGAGGTGCATCTCCAGAGTTGACTTGCGCTCGGCATACAAGCGACGAAAACACCAACATCGAGTTCCGCAAGGGACCAGACGTAGACCCATAAGGCCTCAGCTGAGAGAGTCAAATGTGAGTTTGGAAGATTTATGGCAATGAGTATCGAAAAGATGATACAGATGGAGCTTACAAGTGATGTTATTGGCGGTCGCGAAGTGAACCAAGACTTGAATCCTGAGAGCGCTGACTGCTGTGAGGCTGGTTTGGCATGGTTAGCAGTCTGAGTATGCTTTCTCCCATATTGAAGCTTACAATAATCCAACAGAAAACATCATGATGACCCCTATCTTCTTCTTGAATCCGAGATTAAGTTTGTAAAGCTGTGTAAGTGGCAGGGCCAGCATCCAAATGTCCAAGAGAATGTTGAAGCCAACGTGGGTCAACACGAGCTTATTGAAGTCCATGCAAACACCTGCTTGTTCTCCGTCCCATCCAAGCCAGTATTTGTTCAGTGGACGACATTGAGTGAATGTGAGTATGAGGTACAAAAGTAACAATAAAGCGTTGAAGCCTTGTGTGGCCCACAGTACTCGGCGGAAGCGAGGAGATGGGAAAATACGAATGTAGAAGAATAAGATGGATGCTTTGATGGTACTCAAACCAGTGATGTAGAAGATCTGGGTACTAAACAGAATCTGAGCAATGGTTAGTCTAAGTGTCCTAGAGATAATGTACGACCCTCAGGAATCCAGTGGCTTTTGCTTCTATGAAGTGTTCAGATCTTACCTTGAGGAACTCGGTGATTTTGTAGGACTGGAGAGTCCAGATGTCCCTTCCAAGACCAATAGCTAGTACTGCAACCAATGTCAGTCGATTAAAATTTGGGTGGTAATTAACTGAGTAAAGTGTGCACTTACAGCGATACACAATAGGCACCAAAGCTGTCGCGCATGCCTGTTTGGAGATCAGAATCGCCACAGCCGCGTGACAGTCCAGAGTCCGACTTACAAAACCGATGAAGACGCAAAAATCATCAGCGCCCCAAGGAGATGGGTTGACAAGCTTGTTCAAGATTCGTATGCACATGAAGATGACTGGTAAGATAAAGAGTGTACCTGTGAGGAATCGGGGTATCGCTGTGTTGTCGGTCAATGGGAAGCCGCATTTTGCCCAAGTCATATTTGCTACGGCTTGTATCGCTGTTAGAGCCTGGAACCTCTAGAGTAATCTGATTCCATGCTTACTGAGGCCCTCTTTGACTGTACATCCATTCTTGACACAAGCCCCAACATTATCGTTGAAGACCGGGTCGGCGCAAAGACAAGTCTGGTTTAGACCAGTGCATGGGGACTTAGGTAGTGCATCAACTATGCAAGTAACCTATATTTATCAGCTTGAACCTTACTGGGATGTGATTCGGACACTCTCACTGCGCAAGGAGGATAATCGGAGATGCTAGGAATGGCCCCAGCTGCGATTGGAATGATGCATAATAGAATAGCGGAAACGCCAAGTATCCTCATATTCACTCAAGATGAAAGATTGCTAAAACTCCAACAGGTATTGGAGCCAGATCGAAAGAACCAAGGTCTGGGATATAAGAGCCACAGAATGCGGAGAAGTATGGGAATCTCAGGGGAACATTCGCGTGGCGACATCCGAAGCTCACTTCCTTTCATCGAAGAAATGGCGAGATTGGTTTCATTGCATTACACACAGCGGCTCGATTGTGAAAGAAAGCCATGCGTACCAGACTTGTGGAATGCGGGCGGTCGCTCCATGGTGCCAGTGGCTCGGCTTGCTTGCGAACGGAAAGATATGCAGTCGGCTTCTCTCAGGCAAAGCCATGTGGCTGTGATCGACCACAGCTGAGAATCTGGACACCTTTGGACCACTCAATCAATTGGTGGAAGGACCGTTGGACCTGAAATCCTTTTCACATGTCTTTTGTTTAGACGGTGTATCGTCCGCTTTGGCTTGGTGGCGTTCCCGGTCTACGCCCAATGTAGGTACGGCATATTCAGAACAACGACCTAGGTCAGTGATTGAAATTACCGTCACTTCATCAATCCCATTGTCAAACAGTAGGAGTAAAATCTCCTACTTCGTGACAACGGGATCTCCTCGTTAGCACAAGCATCAAAAGCGGTATAAGAAACCTCGGCGAATATGTATTTGTGTGAGCTAATTCTCCTTCAGAATATCGGCAGCCTTTTCAGCTACGGCATACATAGTTGCTTGCAAATGGCAGGCTGGAATCAACGGAATGATACTGGCGTCAATTACCCTCAGTCCCTGAACGCCGTAAACACGAAGCTGGGGGTCCACAACGCCGCCATGCTCCAGAGGTTGCAGACTCGCTGTTCCGCTGGGGTGAGCAAAGCTAGCAAAAAGGGAGTTCCTAATAGCTTCAGCAATAGCCTTGTCAGATGTGACGTTGACACCAGGCGAAATCTCAACGGCTTCCCTGATTGCCAAAGTGGGAGTATCCCAGACTTTGCGGAAATCCTTAACACTGAGGACTGCAATATCGACATCAACCGGGTTTTGGAGTGTGCCAAAGTCAATGATGGGCGGGTTGGCAGGATCAGGGTTGGTCGAGCTGATCTTGATAGTGCCACGAGACAGAGGCTTCTGGAAAGCAATTGCGCCACCAGAGAAGCCTCCGAAAGGAATCTCCAACACGCCTGCCTCTGGGTTTCGGAACAGCTTAGTGAGAGCCTCACGCTGAGCGAGGAAGCCCTCAAGAAGTTCGGGCTGCTCTGAATAGATTTCCGGAAGGAAGTCGAGCGCGTTCTGGGCTTCGACAGACGCTGACAGAGCCTCATATTCCGGAGTAAGATCCTGAAGAGACCTGAAGATGATGTTGTTTCCACGGGCGTGAGTGAAGGGCCCAGTTCGATTGGCAAAGTACTCGGCCTCAGATGCGTTGAAGAATGCCGGATCGTTCATGGCCTCGCTGCCGAGCTCAGGAGGGTTACCGTACGTATACATCATTAACATCCATGCGTGATCCTGGTAGTTGCTACCCACACCAGGGAGGTCGGCGACCACACCGACGTCGAGAGACTCCAGCAGCCCAGCGGGTCCGATGCCACTCTGGAGCAGGATTCTCGGCGTCTGAACGCCGCCGGCAGCAAGGACAACCTCCTTCTTAGCCTTCACCAATGTTGTGGCGTTAGTTTCGCGTGAGATGATGTTCACACCGACAGCTTTCTTATCCTCGAACTCGATCTTCGAAGCATAGTGCTTCACAAGGAGGTTGAGATTCTTGCGAGTTTCGGCGACAGGCTCGTAGTATGCTGTTCTCGATGTCGACCGAGTAACGTTCTTTGGGTCGTGGTTCTGGGGGAGCTGGGCCAGGCCAACGTTGTTTCCACCGGCACCGTGGTCATCGAGTACAGGAACGCCGATGTCCTCAATCCAGGCCTTTCTCTGAAGATCTAGGTAGGAAGCGTTCGTATTAATTTTAAATTCAAGTCTTGTGAATAGGGAAAGGAGTTCAGGTTTTCACGGACCTCTGTCGGGCCATTGCCACGAGGGGAAGCCGGCCTGAAGAGGACCATCGCCATAGGTGCTCGGGTCGTAACTGAAGTTGTATCTCTTGACGTATTCGGGCGCAGGAAGAGTAAACGTAGATGACTGGGAAACCAAGTCAGCACAAGTATCTCAGCCCCGTATCTACCATCGATCTTTGCAAACCTTCTTGAAATAGTGGAAGAGGCTGTCCCAATTCCACCCCGGGTTTCCTAGCTCCTCCCACGCGTCATAGTCGGCTTTCGAGCCGCGATCAAACGCCATGCCATTGACGGTAGAGCCGCCTCCAACTACTGTTCCAGTTTGAACACCAGAAGTTCTGTTGTTCAAGCCAGGCTGTGGGATGGACAAGAATTGGATCAAATCATTGGGGTGCAGGTTAGAAGCGTAGTAGGGGATAGCTACGTCCCAGCTGACGTCGAAGTCTCCATACTCAACAACCAAGACAGTTACTGTTGATAATATCGGTTAGCAGCAGATCAGTCCGCCATTCCAAAAGCGCATCATTTGCTTACCATCCGGATCTTCGGTGAGTCTGTTGGCAACCACAAGACCACTCAACCCTCCGCCCACAATCACGTAGTCGTAAGAGTCATGAAGATCCGTGGCGTTCCTCTTGGCGAACTTGGCAGCCGCTGGCGCCGCAATTGCAAGCTGGGCTTGGCCCGAGACAAGGGCGATCAGAGCCGCTGCTTTCAGGCCACGAACGATAGCCATTGTACAAAGCCGAGAGAGTCGGGAGGTTGAATGATGGGACGCACAGCGATCGAAGGAGAATCTTTCTCAAGACTAGAGGGTAATTTCCAAACTTTTAAAGGCTCGGACCCAACGAGCTGCGGTCAACTCATCCTAGTTCATTGCCTTCGGACCACTGCACAAACATCGCTTAGTCCAACTGATCGCATGTTGTTCAACAGTGCGCTTCTGCGCGAGAACCCCGCCAGGCCCAACAGCCCTTGTCGTTGACGGGTCATCGGTAAGGATTATTAAAGTGCAGTGTGCTAAGAGCCGGGGAGCGGCAGATGTGGCAAAGCAATCCGATGCAATGGGTTTCTGTCCCGCAGTCCTAGGCGTTCCCATAGGGCAGTTCGCAAATGGATTATCACGGCCCCAGCGTGACACCCCGGACGACACATGGGTTAAAATCAACAGACACCAGGGCCCGGCCGGCCGGTGGGACGGCCCTTGTTCTCCAAGTAGCCACAGTATCCAGCCGATGTCACGCTGTCAACCATTCTTCTCGAAGCTGTAAGCACTAAGGATATTAATTAGCCTGCATCTGATGTTCCCATTCAAGACTGCGATGTGTGGATGTTGAATCACCATTCCCAATTGAATTGACTAAGAAAACCAAGGTAGTGGTGGGGCCCCGATTGTCGTATACGAGATCAGTGCAGCGAATTTGTAGTTTCGTAAAGATATGTGTCTATTCAACTGGATGCAAAGCAAAGGTGTATCCACCCGCCCTCACTGCATCTGACATTACGGGAATGCTACTTACCCCAATCGCAGTATGCTTGGCGGTTTCTGATGGCTATTCAGTGTTCAGAACTCTATATCTGTGTGATCTTGAATCCACCAGGGCACTTGTCCTGGAAGACACGGTCTGGATCGTACTTTAGAGCCACAGCTTGGATCTTGCTGACATTTTCCTCGCCATAGGCTCGCAGCGGGTTCTGGGACTTGTCCGCGTAGTTGAGGTATATCCACCCCTCCAAAAGCTCCCTGTCCTTGGTAAATTGAATTAGACCATCGTACCACTCTTGCAAGATGCGAAATCCGTCTTCCACGTCCCCCTCATCTTTGATATGCGCAGCGGCAAGGAAGGTGATGCAATTTCCACTCAGCCGGTCTACACCGAGAACGTTACCACCTCTTTCCTGGCTCCGTTTGGCGTAGAGTGTAGGAAGAGCCTGTGCAAAGCACATGGTGCTAAAACCATCGGCAGGAATCGTCGCACCGAGTTTGGCGACACATTGTGCATGGAGCTCAGCTGCTTTTGCGAGAATTTCCGTACTGTTCTTGACCGTAGCCGATAGCCACTTGTTACTAATCAGAAGCTCTGGTTAGACCCAAATGCCGGGCTTCGAGGTTTCTGGCTTAACAATGATAACTTACTGATACGAGAATGGCGACTTCATGATCTGAGCAAAACTTGCTACACTCTGACGTTGAACTGTGCTTGCTACGGCCGGGATATCCAGAACCTTTGCAAGAATCGGAGGACGAACAACTCCTTGAGTGTTGCACATCACAAATGTGAGCATGTTTGCTCTCAAACTTGGCTGCCAACCCCACATGATTCCATAAGAAGTGTCTAGATCCTCCTCGACATTATCAACGTAGTCGACAAAGTTTTGGATGCTGGCAGAGCTGGAAGATGTGTTGCAAATACGCATGCCACCCCAAACCTCTGTGGCTTTGAAAGCTTCCAAGTCGAAGCGGCTAACGATGCCAAAATTACAGGCTCCTCCCTTGAGGGCAATGAAGAGGTCGGCATTGTCGGTTTTTATTGGCGTTTATTATATGGCCACTTGAAAGAACAATCTCGTAGTTGATAACAGTGTCACAGGCGAAGCCATATCGAGGTAGCAGCCAAGAAAGGCCACCACCGCAAAGAAGTCCACCAACGCCGACGTCAGCATCACGACCGCCGTTTACGGTTACCCCATGGGGCTCGATGGCCTGATACACGTCTTTCCAAATGCAACCAGCTTGAACAGTGACAATGTTGCGATCAGCGTTGTATTGAACGTCGTTTAGCTTAGAAAGATCGATCAAGATGCCATTCTCGCAGTTGCTGGCACCGGGCCAGGCGCAGTGTCCACCACTTCTTACCGCAAAGATGCAATCTTCAGCTTTTGCCAAAATATTTACCGCTTGAGATAACTCCTGCGTAGTGTGGGGTTGCACAACGCAATACGGCGTGAGTTGAGCGGCCAGTGACCAGTGTGATTTCACCTCGTCGCGATATATGTCTTCATCAGAGTAAATAAGCCGCAGTCGTAGCCCAGCTTCTTTAAGTTTCTTGCACTATTGACTTTATTAGCAATATTTCAAAGAGTTAAGACAGAAGTCTCGCCAATCGGCCCCGTATAAGATTCTTAAAGGGGGCGGCTTAGGGTAAAGAATAAACAGATTTCCGGGTCTACGATATTTGGGCCCAAAAAAGCAACATTCAAACATACCGCGGCTTCAGATCCTTTAGTGCCCATCTTGAGGGTCCAGGAATGAGTGTTCTGTTAGGAGTGTAAGGTCAAAAGATTTCCAGTAATCTGAAGCGACTGATGTGTGATTTCTCACGAGATGGAGAGGAGAGTAGCAGACAGTAAGGTAGATCATAGAGAAAGAGAATCCTGAGATTTATACCATACTTTCCTGGTATCCAGTGGCGTGAACAAGAGTTTCAAGCCATGGTAAAGCAGCACCCCGAGAGACTAAGGTTCAACACTGTTCAGACTAATGATTACCGCATGCTGTTCATAGGGATATTCTAGGTTTCTTGGCCGCACTCGTAAGCTGATAAAGAACTTGAGTTCAATCTGAGGCAAAATGATCTCACTTCTCTGCATGGTCAAGCGACGAGGGAGGTGGCGACGTGGAGGTAAGTCCTATGTTCAACAGTGGCGCGAACACAAAGCCGCGCTGACAAGATTGCTGTTCACTTCACTATCAACGAACTGTGTGCACATGTAGCCTAGGTCAGAAACCCTGCATGCTTCTTCTGCTTGTCCCAGTACCATGGCCTCACCGGACCCCATCCTTCGTGAATTGCGTGCATTCTATTCTAGTGCTCCGGCTGGCTTCGGTCTAGAAGTCAATCCTGCTTGTTGTAACCGCTTCACATGTATTCACTACTTTATGGAAATGTTGGAAGGTCGGGTACTTTGCTTCCATGAGTGATGTGGGTCTTACCGCACCCCGTAACCCCCAGCCTTGACAATATCTCACTTATCGCCTCATAAGTACTTGGAAGTAGGGCTTGGTCTCTTGTTAGATCTTTGTTGTTCATAATATTCCGGTAAACAGAGGAGGACACCGGCTAGTCGACAGGAGAAGACACTGGTCGTCACAACCGCCACATGCATGCTTCCGCGGAGGGTAAACAACAGCCCTGCTTTTACTGAAAGGTCAGATGATAAGGATGGTCTTCGTGGATCGAACTGGAAATATATTTTATCTACATTCTGCGCACACCCCTAGCTTGAAAGGGGTTGCATTTACGCGAAGCATCAGGCAGCCGGGCGATCTCTTGGCCAACAAACATGCATGTTTGCTTAGCGTTGCACAAAGAAAAACTCGGACCGGCCCCCGAGGTCACATCATGTCATACCAGGAATCCATTCTCACGACTTTCACTGAGGGGTTTGGTATCGTTCCCTCTTCCCAAGCATTACTGCCGTGAGCTAGAAGGTAGAAGGTCACGATAAAAGGTGCATTTCTGAAGCTCACACGGACTTGTGACAACAGAATCGATAGCCGGACATGTAGCTGTGGAATGATGAAGGTCCATGGAAGGTGGTAAGGTTCTGTTGAGGCGTGTCGTTTTATTTTCCAACTCGATGGTGCCTTCTTTGTCCCTCTCATCGCCGCTTGCATCCGATTGGCTCGGGAATCGATAGCAAACATCAAAACATCAGCCTTGCTGCTCAACAGCAAGACGGGACCTCCTACAGTCCGACATACATTAGTAATATGGGTATGACTTCTTGGCTGCAGGTAAAGTAACTTGGTATGCAAAATCGGATACAGGAGGTTCCCTCATCTCTCTTATTGGCGTTTGTCGTCTTCGCTTCTCATTCTGATTGTCGGGGGAATAGCACAGTAATAGGAAATGGTAATGTTGAAGACTACTGGAACGCATGAAAACAGAAACTACATGAAGGCTGCTCTCCACTATTAAAACCTTTGAGGCTCTAGTATATATCGGCGGTGAATGAAGCGTGTGCGATCCGCCGGTGCGGGAGGATTGGAGGCCATATGGCCGGCGCCGGGGAGATAGGCCGGGTAAGTGTGCCGATGCTGACGGCGGAGTTTGAACGGCTGCGGAATTGCGGAACCCCGCCAGCCTGTAGCGTGGAGCGTAATGCATCCTTCCGCTATGGGTCGTTCACCAATTTTATTCCACCGGCGGAGGTTTTGGATAACGTCCCAAAACGGATGAAGTGGCTTGCTGTGCCGTTTGAGTCGAATCCTACTCATCCATATTTGTCGATACATGGCACCACGACGACGAGAAATGATGTCAAGGAGAGAGAGACAGCGAATTCCGGAGCGGAGATGTTCATCATCTGCCTTGGGAAGCCGACGGACTTTGGTATCTGCACTTTTGTCAAGTATAAGAGGCTCCTTGAGCTGTAGAAGCTCAAGTTTGTATTTCGAAGCCATCTACAGTCCAACACAACCGCCCGCAGTCTATTCACACACAACGCTTTCTTCTGTACAGATTCACAATTCATAAAGATGGTCAAAGTCGCTATTGCTGGTGCTTCCGGAAGTGAGTTGAAAATTCACATCAAGCGTTGGAGCATTCCAAATTGCTTGCTAGAGCCAAATTTCACTCCTCTGAGTGTGAGTGTGACGGCTAATAAGTGATATTCAGAGCTTGCCCTCGAGGTCATTGACAAGTTGGCCGCTGCCGGAAAACATGAGATCCTCGGACTGGTCCGCAAGGTAAGTTGTCAATCCCTCTCAAAGAAGTTCCAAGCTATCGATGCTTCAGTCTAGTCGGACGCACACAAATTGTAGGTCCTCTTGTTCTAACGATAGCCCAGGACCCCTCAAATTTACCACAATTTCAGGGAGTGAAGTACATCCAGACTTCTTATCTAGAGGAGAAGGAGTTGGTAGATATTCTCACCGGTGTTGAGACTGTTCTCTCTTTCATCGTGGCTCACACCGACCCGAATGCGGAGACATCCAAGCGCCTCATCGATGCATCAATCAAGGCCGGTGTGAAGCGCTTTGCCCCGAGTGAGTGGGCGACGTAAGTATTGCTGCTTCTCGTTCGCCTTGTCCTCAAAATTTCTGCTGGTTGCTAACAGTGCGGGCTCAAGGAACAACAACCTGTCAGATGTGATTGAGTACGCGTCTTGGTACGCCAACAAGCTGGAAGTCAAGAAGTACTTGGAAGACATCAACAAGAGCAAGAAAGTGGGTTGAGTCTAAGGGTTCGAAGTGTTTGTGCTTCCGATGCTAACCAAATTTCAGGTGATTGAGTACAGTCTGTTCCAACCTGGAGCTTTCATGAACTACTTGGGTTATCCTCACCAGACCACCAAGCATTATCAAATCGATTATGCTACCTTCATTGACTTCGAGAAGGCTACTGCTTTTATTCTTGAGGGGTCCGAGAGTGCCGAAATGACGATCACTACCATCGAAGACATCGCGGAGGTAGCCGCACGAGCCGTCGATTACGAAGGCGAATGGCCTGTTGTAGGCGGTATTACCGGCGATAGAGTCACCATCGGAGAACTTATTAGGTTGGGAGAAAAGTGTAGAGGTCCGTCCATTGACCGTGTTCATTGCAACTGTGACAATTAGGTTCGCATAACTGACGAGTCATTTTAGGAAAACCCTTCCAGGTCGACAGGTTGAAGTTTGAGGACCTCCAGGCAGGCATTGTCAAGACAGACTTCTTCCCCGCCATCGACGTTCCTGGTGTTCCAGCGGAGCAGAAGGAGTACTTCAGAAACGTAATCGTCATCGGAGCGACGATTTCGACAGCTCGAGGCACTTGGGCAACCACTGATGAGTGGAACAAGTTGCTTCCTGACTTCAAGCCAACCACCATTGAGGAGTATCTGCAGAAGACCTGGGGCTCTCAGTAAAGTTCTAGTATGTGGGTTCTCGTTATTCCGACAAATCGGCTAGAACTTGGGGATTTACACAATTCGGGCTAGGTCAAAGTCAGATATCCCGCCTGTCAATGTCACGTCCATAGACTTAGTATCTGGTTGATCGATTCAGTTCCAGTCTAATACAGAAATTTTCAATTGACTCCAAAGGTCTATATGCTCTCTAAGCGTTCAATACAGCAGAGGCCAAGCAAGAAATGCTTTTTTTCTTCTGAAACTCACATATACGATAGAAGAAGATTCAAGATCCCTTCTGGTCACCTGATTAATACTTGTTTTTGCCTAAGTGAGGTGTGACCAGAACTTTTCACGTCCAATCATCGACCTGTATTTAGTGGACTAAGAGGGTCATACTCGTCTGTAGCGATCAACTCAGGATAGAATATTCCGGCGTCCTTCAAAACCTTGTCCATAGTTTCCATGACGAGTATGCTCTCAAACCACGGCATAGTGTCACTTTCTAATTTTCCAACCCTTATGCAACGTGCAGCTTCGTCTGCTTCCCAAAATGTGCCATTTCCCCAACTCCTTTCGTTGTCTTGCGGCTGAGGGCATTCAACAACCTCCTCAACAGCTCCTATCTCCGACGTGGCAACAATCTTGAAAGACTGAGGTTTATACGCCGGGTGTTCCACTTGTATCTCGCCATGTGAGCCCTGGATTCGGATCGCTGGGTTGCTGGTATTGCCAGGATCTGTTGCGACCCGAAGCGATGATGTGGCTATGCCCACTGTGCCATGCTCTGGGAAGCTGAGAACAATTGTAGCCGACTCAGCGACTCCCGTGGAATAGCTCTGAACAGAGGACATGATCTTTGGCTGTTCTTTTTCGTTTTCAGGTTGAAGATGGTAGAGAATTTGGAAAACCCAGGTTAGTGGGTAGATTCCGAGTCCGAGTAGTACACCTCCAGCCAAGTCAGGGTTGACCATGCGATGGGAATCTTCGTAATTGAGTCTCTTGCTTCCCAGATCTCTGCTGCTGTTCGCTCGAGACAAGTCTGCAGTAACACGGTACACCTGACCGATAGCTCCATTGCTGACGAGCTGGCGTATCTTGACACTTGGCAGGAAGAACCTCGTCCACACACCTTCCAAGAAGAAAAGCTTCTTTTCCCTTGCAGTGTCGTACAGTCGCCGCGCTTGCGCAGCAGTGACGGTGAGAGCCTTTTCACAAAGAACGCTCTTTCCCGCATCGAGCGCTAGCATCGCGTTCTGGAAATGGTGGCTATGCGGGGTGGCGATGTAAACAATGTCAACATTCTGGTCTTTAACAAGTGCTGCATACGATCCGTATGCAGAAACTTCAGCAGGTGAGTGGTGGTCAATGCGAGCGAGGAATTCGATCGCCTTTCGAAGATCTTCCGACGATGAGACTGCGGTGATGGCATGCTTAACGTCCGTCACCCCGCGGGTAGTTGGGTTTGTGAGGAGGTCTTTGCAGAAATCTGCAATGTCTCAGCAACACTGCTCCACATGAGAAGGTTGGACTGGTTCGTCTCATCAAGGGGATAGTTCAAGTTGACGTACACTCGGACATGGCTCCGGTGGCCATTATCCCCCACCTCAACAGAAATTGTTCTTGTACCATCTCAGGTTCTCAACGTGGAGACCGGACCCGAATAGTGGTTGATGTGGACGTAATGCTACACTACTGTGTCTTAGCAACAAGATTCTTTGCAACTATGAAGGGGATGGCTTGTTTTAAAGCGTCGCCCCCAAGATCATCAACGTGCAGGTAACGAGGAAATCGTGTTTCGTGCTCGGGCGTTCGGGCTAACTAGGGCCGATGCAGTCCCAATGACTCAATGGTACCTCGGTACGATTTTTATATGTGAGACGATGGTCCTGGACCGTATCGCAATAAAAGCGACGGCGCGGACTCCGGTAGCAGTATCGTAGAAAGAACAACGATGAATGTTATACGTCCAGCAAGGAAGAATGCTTATAAGGCATCGACAATGCCCTAACTAGGCTGTCCAATATTATTGGCAGTGAGTATCATTTGCAAAAACGAAGTGACCCTTTCATGCCCAGTCAAGAATTAAACTTTATTCCATTATGTAGGAGCCGGATTTGCCCAGTCAATTCGTCAATCATCATCAATCATTGCACCGTTTTGCTCAACTCCATCAACTCCAGCTGCCATCATGATCTTGCTGCACTAGAAGTACAAGCTTCCAGCGTTGTTCAAAATCCAGTCTGAACTGGTCTTCCTGAAGTCGTCCTTCAGGGTGCTAGCCTTGTCCGCGAAGAACTGCATCAAGTTCTGGCCTTGCGACCACTGAGGCCAGGCTGGGTAGGCTCCGTTGAGGCCGACGTTGGGGTCCGAGGCGTAGACGAAGTTGGTGTAGTAGGTACGGATGCTTCGCGCGGCGTAGTTGTCCTTGATACCGTAGAAGACCTGGAGCAAGTCCGATCCGTGGAAAGTACCCAGGATCGGGGTACCGTAGTCGTACGACGAGAGGTATGACCACGAAGGTACAGTGGGTTGTACGGAATTGGCAATGGTGAGAAAGACGCGGCGAGTCAGGGTGAAAACCAAGTCGCCAAGGACGGCGGATCGACGCTTGAAGCCGGGGAAGATCTCGTTTAAGAGACCAGTGCGGTGCGGGCTGCCGTTGATGACAGCGGTCACACCATCATCGTAGGTGTTAACGTAAGCAGTGATCTGGGCCGTGGTGGCAGTCGCGAAGTAGTAGTTCTTGAGGTAGGTCACGAGCTTATCAGTGGTAGTCAGGTTGGGTTGGAAGATGCCGAAAAGGGTGCCTTCATCTTCCTGATCTCCGATGATCATGGGTACGGCTGCGTACTGGCCGTTCTTAGCCAGCACATCGGGGCTCGCGGTAAGAGTCTTGCCGTCCGGACGGGGCAGATAGGACAAGGCCAGAGAGTTGTAGGAGAGGATTCCAGGGACAGACGTGACGGCGTTCAGGAACGTAGTGTAGTCGACTCCGCGCAGGCAGGCCAGCGTGTCGGCCTTGCCAGCGCATCCTGCCTCTGAGACAACCTTGTCGTACACGGCCTGGCCCTTGGGGCAATCGACGGGGTCGGTAGGGACGATGCTGCCAGAGTTCATGATGGCACCGCGGAAGAGCGCCTTGCCGTTGTACTTGTTGTTTCCGTTGTAGAGAGCCATTTGATCGAAGACAGAGATTGCGCCTGCAGACTCGCCCCAGATGGTGACCTTGTCCGGGTCGCCACCGAAAGCCGCGATGTTGTCTGCAACCCACTCGAGACCCATTCTCTGGTCGAGAAGACCGAGATTTGCGGAACCGTCGGCGAGGATCTCCTTGCCAGGCATGAAGCCGAAGCCGGCGACGCGGTAGTTCACGGCGACAAAAATGAAGGGCTTGCTGATATCGACACCGTGCTGGACAAGGCCGGTTCCATCGTACATGGAGGACCATCCGAGCTGTTCAAATCCTTGTCAGTACTTTAAACGAATTGGTCAAAAGTTTAGATGGCGCTGGGTATACCTCAAATCCACCTCCAAAGATCCAGTAGAGCACGGGCAGCTTCGCATCTGCCGTGGTGCCCTGGGGACGAGCCACCGTGATGGTAAGGCAGTCTTCAGTCTGGCCAGTCGCCTTCTGGACGAAAGGGAGGTTCGCAATGTCCCCCAACAGGTTGAAGAGGATGTTGTCGCTGTCGGAGGAGGAGACCATCTGCGGGCAGGCAGCCGCCGGGCCGGTGGCGTCAAAGGTTCCAATATTGTCCGTGAGGCGCACGGGAGGCTTCAATCGCAATTGTCCGGTAGGCGGCTTGGCGTAGGGAATGCCGCCAAAAGATTCGACATTGTTCATGACGTTTCCGACGACAGTTGCCGTCTTGAGGACGACCGTCGCGTTAGCTACAGCCCTATCTTCCAAGGGCTGAACATGGTCCGACACAGCCAAAGCGGCTCCCAGGAGGGAGAGGGACGAGACGAGAGTGGGAAGCTGCATGGTGAAGACACGAACGTTTGCCTGGTAGATCCACTGAACAAACTAAGAATAACCAAAGGGAGGATGGAGCTAGATACGAGCCACCAGACAGGATAGACCCAAATAATGGAGCTTGGCTGAAGACGATCCGGATGAGCTGCCTCGAACGACTCAAAAGAAGATCCCGTCATGGAGAGGGTTTCCCGCGGTCTATTTAAGTCAATTCTCCAGGACGATCCAGGAACGACATTCCAGGGCAAATTTTGACCTAGTGTGGATTGACCGGTGAACTTCAAAGCCGCACCCACCATTGGGTTGAGCACCCCTGGCATGTTTTTCAGTCTAGTTGTGGCCGACGCCATTGAGCTAATTGCGAATGGGGGCACTTGCGAGCTTAGCAGGAGCTTGGGCAAGGGAGGAGGAGTAGCTCAATCCCCTCCGACTGAGTCGTGGGCCTCACTAGTCGAGCGGGTATCGTACTCGTGCTCGACTCCTCAAGCTAACCCAGCATAAAAAATATTGGATGTGAACAAACCGGGAATGCAACGTTCCCCATGGGGTAGCGGGGCTTATTGCCGGGATGTATTCGGGTCGCTTCTGCGCGGGAAGAGACGGCCGAATGACCACGGCAGTTCAAGATACCCATTGATCGGGGATGTCAGTGATCCCGCTGCGGCACAGCAAACGAAACGAAACAGCCTTATTGACGTAGGACAAGGCTCGAGATTCACATGGGAATATGCAGAGTCACAATCATGCCTCGCGCTCCCGCCTCGGTATGTTGGGCGGCAGAAAATGGTGGTATTCTTAAGCTTAGTCGCGCACGTTGAAAGCATGTAAGCGCAGGGAAAAAGGGGGGTAGAGAGACTGAATAGAGGCGGTCTGGTCGAACGGAACAGCGTGAGGGTATTGCTCTCGAAAGCGCATGTGATTGTGAGACACAATGTCGACGGACACCAGGAACCAGGAACTCTGTCCCAATCAGGCATCGATGTTCCTCTGATCTTGGACTTGTGGGTGTGAAGCTGTCGTGTGTCTGGCCGAGATGGTGGCTGCCCGTCGAGGGCACAAGCGCCCTGGACAGCTGGTGTTCGATGCACGAGAAACGGCGCGGGCGGCAGAGCCAAGCTGTACGCTCCCAATAGTGCGAGAGTTTTCGTGTTAATCGGGGAATGCGGGGTGAAAGTTCAAGATTTGGTGCGCATCCATCTCTGTTGGACAGTTGGAGTAGCACCAAAAGGACCCATCCCGAACAAGGTCGGCTGATGTAGATCGCCAACCTGGATCCTTGCACCGGCACTGGAGTCAGCCATCCACGAGGCTCGAGTCTTTCGGATTTGGTATCCTACCACGGTAATGGGCCCGAGACGCGTGGGGCTCCGGATCGAAAGATGTGCGAAAGAATCGAAGTTTAGGTCTTCGAGTTGAGAAGCAGCCGTGGAACCCGCGCATACAATTTACAAAGCGGGCAAGCAACGCATACAAAAACCGTTGAGGGGGCGGATAGGTCGGGATATTCCACCAGTATCTTAGCTCGAAAACAGAATCCACTCGAACGATGTTTGCAACGGGGGGATCATACAGGATTACACTAGCATCTCGGCGGGGTGCTTTAGTGCGAGTCTGATCACACACACACACACACACACACACCTTGATGCACACATACCTAAAGTACGAAGTACTTGCCTCTCATTCTCGAAGATGTTTACTGGTCGACTGAGGTTATGGAAGTTCCCGAAAGCGAGGTACGATAGACACGAGCTGACGATCTGAGAGGCACAGTGTCCATAGTCCCGAAAGGGCAATATTTGCTCCTCGGGCGGCCGCGGACACGAGGCGACCAGAGAGCGCTAGGCACGTCAAAATCAGCTCTCGTAGCCTTCTCCATCCGAATTTAGAACTTAGCGTGTGACGGGACGTTGATAACGTCCGAAAGCCTCGGCCGAACTGCTAGTAATCAACAAATGGTCTTACATACGGATGCGGCTCGTATGCTTTGACATCTTAAGCATGTGTCTGCCATGCTCAAGAGCCATGGTGTGGCATGTGTAGTCGTTGAAGGGGCGGAAAGAAGAAATGTGTTGTGCATGATCTTCCACACTCTGCGTGCAAGCTTGTTCAGTGGGAATATCTTCGCGAGTAGACCATCCCGGCTGAGAGTCTTTCACCGCCATGGAGCTAAGTAGTTAATATAATGTTGCGGGGATAATGAGATTGCCGGCTTCTCAACACATGTGGAGCCGGAAATTTGGGCGAAATCAAGTTATTCCCTGCTCTACAGAGATGGAATTATCCCGTTTCCAGCAGGAGCTACTGGATCGCCTCTAATATTCTAGACGAGCCTTTGAATTCCTTGAAAACTTCGCTTGGGCATGAAATCCCTCTCGCAGAGACAGTAAGCATCCGCAATTGTTGAGGAGTTACGTATTTGATAGACATTTTCTACGGAAGTGGTCCCAAGGCCGGTGAACTAATCTAAGAGGCCCGAACCCTTATCAAACGGCCGAGCCGCAAACGAAGAGCAAGAGAAACTCGCAACTCTTGCCGAAGAAGCTTAGTGCCACAGATGTCAACTTGATGATAGACAGGAACAATAACAAAGGCATTCTCCTGACAACTGTTAGCCATACGTGCATGGACACTGAAGATCAAGATTGTCCGCCACGTGCGGGCATGTTTTGCGCCGTGACCCTAGCTCCCGCGGCTACGAATACACTAGACACTTTAAACTTCAGGACTGTGTTCAGTCTAAGATGCCCAAGCGTGCGAGCAACGGTTCATCCGCCGTCTAACCCGTCGATTCAACATGTTGGCCCGCTCCGCTTGCAGTTTGCAGCTGTTTAGAGCCCCCAAATTTTCAGTATCCGCCAAAGTGTGCGCCAAGACTAAATGACCCCATTAGACCCCTTGCGGAAAAATTTGCGACTGCGCCGTGATGGACCGTTTGCATTTCTCCAAAAAGTTCGAATGACTCAGGTCTAAGATCGTCGCACAAGACCTGGGGAGTGGAGAAGCTGGAACTTCCATTACTTCGCTTTACGCTACTCCGAGGTCCCGTGCGCAACAAAGTCTGCACGCTTGCCCCCAATTTGTGCTGTGTACTTGAGAAATGGCGCAACGTGGGCTGTCAGTAACCCGAGGGATTCAAGGGATAAAGTTGGATATTGAATCTGTACAGCTGTTGATTGCAGAAATCTAAAGACGCAAGTAAAGGCAGAGTATAGGAGGAAGCTGCATCCATGGGCCTCATTCAGTGCTTCTGGCTTAGAGCTGAGTGTCGAATTCGAGAGGAACTCTCGCATGCAAGCTCACATCCACTAAGAAGATCCCAGAAAATTGTGCATCTAGCTGAAGAAATGTCCAAAGGATTATTAGAGGGTGTACATGTTTGTTATGCCCTGGAAACATCAGAGCCATGTGAGGTACTAGCAGAATGAACCATGACGAGATAATGGTCCAAGCATTTCCCATTGTTGTTTACATCGAAGCACAAGAGACATAAGAATATCTAACACCGTCCATACAAGCATACGGTCAATTGTATGGGCCACGACGACCCAGTGACTGATGTGTCAGGTTACGTGAAGTCGAAAGCGAGCTTGAGTTGAGATCAGGTGTTAGACCTCAGCCAATTAATTTGAGCGGTAAGGTGCAGTCGTCTATCTGAAGGTTCGAGTTTATCTTTCATTCCGAAACCAGCTTTCTCCCTTAACATGGCGTTGCTATCCTGGCATTTACACATACCTCACCCGATGTGAGAAAGACGGCGAGATCAGGATCCATACCCTCAAACTCGGATTGCAGGGCAAACATCATCAACTCCAAAGAGTCCCGGGCACTCCCTTGATCAAACGAAAGTTGTTACAGACATATGTACTTGTGCTTACTTCGATAAGTAGCACTCATCCAGATAGACAGGTTACCTAGATCCTGTGATGGAGGTGAACCATCGCGGTGGCCTTAGGTTTGACAACTTAAGAGCGCCAAAGAAAACCCTATAGATTCTTTTAAATTTCGACCTTCTTAATGGACAAGCATCTGAGCTTAACCGAAGTCCATTCCCTTTAGGAAAGCTTCACTCAACCTCATCAACCGCAGCCTAGGTATAAGGCAATGGTTAACTCACAGTGTGGGTATCAAGCGACCCTTGATTCATTGGCGCAATTTGATTCAAGACGAAGCATTCCTTCAATTCACAGAAATCAAAAGTAGCCTCGACTTCTGAACCTTCATTCAGGCATCCAAAAAAAGGCCGGTTCAGCATTCAGGGCCGCACAAGTTTTGGCGACAAGGATGTGAGAAAGGATACATCCATTTGTCGAGTGTGGGAGGTTTGTGATCGTATCTATGCGATTGAATTCCAGATGATGTCGTGATAAATATTGTGAGGGTGGATGTTATTTACGGTGAAGAGATGACAGCCGCGTGTATTGTCGTGTTATTTGGAGTGTCCCTGAAGATATCAAACGAAGAGTACCCATGTCCGGGTGTTTCTTTGGAACCGAGTATCGGGGAACCAGACACTGGATTAAGTATCCAGTCTTTAATGAATTCAGGCAAGAAGCTCGACTCAACTTCATCAAGAAGGGCCATGGTTTAAGTGGAAACATGACGTTTTGAGGCTTTGATGCCGGTCAGCAGCAGGGAGGGCGGCCATCCGAGCACGGTTAGTGCCCCATCCCATATGCATTCTGCTTATGTTTCAGCCCTGTATTGTGATGCACCTTGCTTATGACTTTTGAGTCAAGAAGTCTACCAATCGCTTTATACCTCAACCAAAACGAATTTCAAGTACTTTTCTGGGCCTCGTGACCCTGATGATTCGGAACAGCCCTACCAAATGCACTCTGCTTATGGTTTTTGATACACGCTGCTTAAGTCCGAACCTTGCTTTTGTCCAGCTATAGAGTCCTGCTCCTTCGATCCACGGTCACCCTAGGTGCCTAGTGGATACCGAAACGTGAAATACGCGGTTCAATAACCAAGCTGAACAACATTGCAGAGTACACATCTGTACTCTTACCCGCGAGGGAGAAGCCAGCGGCCCTAAAGTGTTCGACATCTCCATTTGGTTTCCACCGATGACCCGAAAATCAGCTTCGGTCTCGGTCTCAAATATATATATATATATATATATATATATGAAAACTGACCCCTTGAATTAGACATCAAAAGACTAAGCCTTAAATCATGAACCTACTAATGTAGAGAAAGAAATCAAGTCGAAGACCTTACATTGTTACATCAGGTCGGGACTAGATTCGGCGAGAACAAACGTCAGCATTGTTTTCGGATTTAAACGGAAGGGAGACTTGGATTCGATTCGGATTTGCCTTCAATCATCAAACCAGCTTCGACCGGGTGCATGATGCATCCATAGGTCATGGTTTCTGTACTATGCGAAGAAGTTCTCTCGTTAGATCTTTCCCTCTGATGGCCTTATTCATCTACTCGCGAGTGTGATGAAGTCATTAGGCGGAAAACTATTTATTGTGTTCGATTACCACGCATCATCTGTCTTTCGTTGTCTTTCTCACCATCATCTCCACATAGATTCAACTCTCTAGTAAAGTATCTCACTCTCGAAGAAGTCATCTTCTGCAACAATGTCTGCCCCAGCAAAGGTCACATTCACTTCTCGCGGCTACAAGCTCGCAGGCCACCTCTACCCTCCTGTTGTCAACTCGCCCAACCGTTCTGGAGCGGTCATCATTATCGCCCACCCATGGACCTCGGTCAAAGAACACTCCCCAGCCCACTACGCTCCCGTCCTTTCCCAGGCCGGCTTTTACTGCCTTGCCTACGACGCGGCCTACCAAGGAGAATCCGAAGGAGAGCCTCGCTACCTCGAAGACCCGGGCCAGAGGGTTGAGGACATCAAGTCGGCCGTCACGTACCTCGTCAGCCGCGATGAAATCGACTCCGACAAAATCGGCGTTATAGGAATTTGCGCATCAGGCGGCTACGTCTCCTTCGCCGCGCAGACCGATCTCCGAATCAAAGCCGTCGCCATCTCCGCCGGTGTCTGCTCCGGCACAATGGTGCGCCGCGGTCTCGACAAAGATGTGTCCAACCTCGACATCCTCCACGCCCAGCTCAAGGCCGCTGCCAAAGACCACAACAGCGACGTTACCGGGGAGAAGATCGACATTGTCCACATGTTGCCCGATGAGTTCAACCCGGCGAACGCCCCTGCCGAGATGCCCGAGTCGTTCCGCGACTTGGCTTCGTACTACTGCACAGCCCGGGCTACAGCCAACCATCCTCGCGTCACCAATCTTTGCTTGCCGCGAAGCTGGGATGTTATGGGCAACTTTGACGCCTTCGCTTGGAACCAGCTGATCAGCCCGAGGCCATTCTTGGCAATCACTGGTACCAAGGCTGCCTCCATGTGGTATAGCGAGGATGCTGTTGCGAAGGCTGAGGAGCCAAAGGAGCTGTTCGTTGTTGATGGACTTACTCAGGCCGACTTGTACGACAATGTGGAGGCTGCCGGGGCCAAGCTCAATGAGTTCTTCAGCAAGTATCTAGTCTAAGTAGATATTTGTTTGACTCTCACCATCGTTGATGGCGGGACACACGACTTATACATAGGCACAGTGCACTTCGGAATTGACAAGTGAGCTTAGCACACAAACGACTCAGTTCATAGGAACATGAGAAATGGATATTCACGAGAGAAAACAGATTCAGAATGCTTAAGATGCCCAACTTTGAAACATGTCTTCATGTTTCTTGAGCATATTTGAGTCCATAGGCCATAACTAGTTGTGCGTGCTTGTATGTTACCAGCATGCGATGTCCATTCGTCTTGCTCCCTGGATCTCCGCTTTTGCCTGGCCACAGGCCATATGCCGAATCTCAACGCTTTGAAATGCTCAACGCTCTTGTATCGCCATGCAATCGTGTTATAATCCTCCCGCCATAATAATCTTCCACGTTTCCAACATCCTATGCAGCATCGCATGAGAGGGAGCCGCTGCCCAAGTCATTGCATGAACCACTGCGCTTCTGACCCTATAGAGTGCAAACAAATTAGCCGGGAGACTTTTCAAACAGGGAATTTTGTCTTATTGCGATGGACGTACATTACAGGTCGCAGTGCAGGCATCGCCACGGTTTTTGCATGCTGTCTCTGTGTAAGTACAGCAGTTGATGCTTGGGTTGCACGTCTGGGGCTCGGGCAGAGCGACTGCAAGGGCAGTAGTAGCGAGCGCGACGAGGACGAAGAAACGCATTTTGATGTATGTGAAGGGAGGTTGTGAGGAAAAGCCGAGATCAGTTGATGGATGGAGTAAGTGTATAAGTGGTGGAGCTAGTTCAGAAGAGCTGGGGCTACATCATTTATAAGCGTTCGTTGGATTCCGCAAGGGCTATAAATATGCAGTATACTAAGAGATCTGCATTTTGTTATCGGGCTTCGAGAAGAACTCTCTTTGATAGATTGTTAGAGATGTTGAGTCAGTTACCCTGCAGGTGCTCCAGTCACTTGGCGGCCCCTTTGTGGGATGCTGTCGTTAATTAATTCGGGACCACTTGAAACAATCAAAACGTCGGTCTCAATATTGGCACATATACAACTGGTTTTGGTCTTACGGCCAAGCCGGAGTTGTCCATAATCATGAACTCCGTCAACGGAGAGACCGGAAAACTGTCAGTTCACCTCAGGTTAAGTACTAGCAGGCGATGAAGAGCCGAGGCCTTTCCCGGTGCGTGCCATGCACGTTGAGAACTCGGTTGAGTCGCAAAGATTGCAGTCTCTACCTAGATGACCAAAACTGCTTTAATGTTTGGAGCCGGGCGGCTACGCACCGCATTATTGGCTTTTCTACCCAAGAGCAATGGTATCTCCGATCGGACTTGAGATCAGAGAGGACTTCCTATCGCGAATGCGATAACATGATGCTGGTCATATCAGGTTCTGAGAAACTCTAACGTATTTACCAATGAGTTCATCCAGCATCAGATAGGTTACCCGCGGAGCCCACGCGTACCTTATTCCGTGAATTGTAATTATTCCCTCTGGACAATGATGCTATCTTGGGCGCTTGATGTCTCTGAGTTACGAGCAAAGTATCCCCAAACTACCTGAGTAAGGTAGGTGCAACATAGTTCAAGGCACCTTTCGACCACTTCAATAACGAGTAATTAAGGAGATGCTCAATTGAGCAGCACCCTTCATGCTATTCCCCTCGCATACGTGACTGAACGAGGAGGTGGGCGAAGGGATGGAGGATAATTGGCAGATGCTGACATAACCACGCCCTGAACAGCGCAAATTCGTCCCTTGGACCCCTATTTAAGGTTTCATCTTTTTTTTTTTTAAGCTGATCACGGGCACGTGGCGGGTCTGATCGGGTGCTTTGGCGAATGACGAGCGCTAATTAAGCGAGATGAGATGGGCATCGTGTGGACTTGTGCCTAGAATTCCGGGGGAAGGATCGGACGGGATGCACTGAGTCTTGGGGGTGCGCGCGCCCAACGTTCGCGATCCGAATCCCCCGTCTTCTCTCTTCTCTTTGCAACCCACACCACACCACCACAACACCACCAGCGCAAGCTGCAGATCATCGATGACCTCACTCCTTTGAGTCGCATACCGGCCGCATCTGCGGCTGGCCACAATCATTATTGTTACCTTACTCTATACCAAAGTCACTCATTAGTTTGGAGAGGGGCATCCTATTAGGACCCCTCCCTACCCACTCTTTCTAACAATGCACAGCGTCACTCTTTCATCGCTGTCGCAACTATTCCTTCTGCTAATCGCATCTTCTCCGTATCATGTCGCCGCCGACGGTATCGTCTGGGCCACGCCCCACGATAGCTACTCCTCCTCAGTCGGCGTCCTCGGCTGCAAAATCAACACCGACCGCGTCGCCTACTGGCCCGGCTCCGTAGACTGCACCAACCTCTGCATCTCCCTCACCTACGACGACGGCTCCTCCGACGGCAAGCGCACCGTGAAACTCCTCCGAATCGACCAGTCCCAGGGCGCCTACGACGTCAGCTACGATGCCTGGAACTACCTGTACACGGGCAAGTCCGCGAAGAAGGCGCCCGTTGCTGGCGGACCGCTGGCCATGACATACAAGGAGCTGCCGGCGGACGACTGCAAGGAGCTCCTCAAGACCAAGAACAAGAAGTTGCCCCTCAGCGCGTCCAACAGCATGAACTTCCTCGCCAGCTGCCTCGATCAGCCGGACAGTTGGGTGGCCAAGAACTTTGGGCTGTATAATACACTAGACTCTGTCTGCGCATGGGGATACGACGAGGAGTGCGAGCTGGATTGGCCTGCGGCGAACCAGCCAACGTGCAAGCACTCGCTCGGCATGCCGGTGGAGCTGAAAGATGCGCCGGTGTATAACGTGCAGTATCCCACGGGGGAAGTCGTCGTCGCATCGACGGGGGAGAAGGTGTCGAGTCCCGGGGATAGCACTAGCCTGGCGGCGCCATCGCCGACGCAGAATGGCGCTCCGAGTAGGGGCATGTTAACGTTGTTGATGGCTGGCTCACTAGTATGGACGTGCCTCATGATAGGTTCATGCTAACGTTGATGAAAAGGGCCAGGAAATGCTGTTGATATACCCCACGAGATACCATGTAATACCCCCACGTCTTACGACAATAATGTCAAATACCACCACCTTACCTTATTCTACTTCAATCCCATCCCCGCATGCCACCACTTTCAGCCGAGCCCAGAGGGAACGCGCACGGAACCACCCGCATCGTTGAAGATTGACCGTTGAGCCTCGCCCGAGACAGCTGTCTCTAGGGAAATTAACAACATTTCTTTTGACGCTGTGGACAATTGCCCATGTCTTACCCCGAGGATCTGAGAAGGTATTTGCTTGTCTGATTCATTAGATGATCAGACATTGGCCCCGCTCGAGGCGCGGGCTGAACTTGGATAAACCGCACAGAATATTGTCGACTCAATATTGGCGACGTCATGACGATATATCAAGGTATGGCGCATTCATGGACGGCTCAAAAGCCTCAGCAGAGCTGAGGTGTCTCTCAAATCTATTGTCAGCCCCTCAGGGCCTGTTTTTGTCTATCATCTAATGATCCCAGCTTTTTTTCCCTTGCTTTATTCAGAATTCGCTTGCGCCATGTATGCAATGAAATGGAAGAAGTGCGGACATGCTCATTCAAGAGCCACGCCAGGAAGAATTACGTTCCTCCTCTAGAGGCCCTCGATATTTCGACCCGGCTCCCTGACGTCGAAATTGCCGACGTCCTGAGAAGAACAGGGGTCAGATCTCTTACTTTGTCTTAAAATAGTCACGGAACTTTTCGCGAATCTCATCCTCCTCAAACTTCCTCGTATGCCTCCGCAGCATCGTCGCCCGCTCCTCAATCGTCATGCCAATCTGCTCACCGACCGGCACCAGGCATTTTGCCAGGTGTAGGTAGTCCTTCTGGAGCAGCTTCACCGTCACCATGAGGTAGTCGATATTGTGGAAAACGAGCGCCTTTTCGCGAATGTACGTCTTCTTCTGCTGCAAAAAGGACGTTGGGTGGTCGCGCCAGTGACGGCGGGGGTTGAGGTGATGCGACGTGTGGTAGCCGTCGTTGTAGCAGTATCGGTTGCTCTGTTGAGATTTTGGTGGTCAGCGGTCAAAACGATCTTCATCCTTGGCAATGTGGGGTGTGGGGAGGGGAGGTCCCCTTGGCGAATGCTTACCGGCACATCAATCAGGGTGATGCTGGAGCGGAAGTCCGAATCCGGCTCGTCGGCGTCGACAAAGGCGTGCTGTCCCCAATTGCCGACCATCAAACCCAATCTCATGAGCGCGAGGGGCCCGAGGAAGACAAAGGTCGTCGCCTTGCTGTGGAGGCAGTACAGGGTGTACAGGAAGGCGTAGTTGCCGAGCTCCCAGAATCCCGTCTTGAGGCCGTTCTTCGTCTGACCCTTGCGGAAAAAGTACCGCGGCAGGTCGAACCAGACCAGAAAGATGAAGCGTCCGACGTAGTGCAGGAAGTGGAAGATGTCGTCACGCTGGTAGCGGATGGTGGACGACAGGTCGTGGGGGCCGTTGCCCTCGACGTGGTGATGTTTTACGTGGTGGTAAAAGTACGTGTTCCAGGTGTGGCCCATGAGGGGGTCGGTGATGTAGGGAAACGCGGTGTCGAAGAAGCGCAGGACGGCCCAGTTTTTTGAGAGGATGCCGTTCATGTGGATGTGCTGGTGCATCATGAGGGTGTAGGTGCCGGTGAACCAAAATTGCATGAGCATGTGGGCGACGCCGTGGATGTAGTTGAAGTTGCGGAAGAGCATGATGGCGCTCGGTACCGAGAGGGTGAAGTAGAGAATCAGGTGGGTGAGCATGATGACGTCGGTCTCGTGGCGGACGATTTTGCGCCCCCAGGCGACGTAGGGGACAATGACATTTTGATAGATGACGGCTGGGAGCTTGTGGGGGAGGTCGCGCAGGTCGAATGATGAGAAGACGGATGGCTCGAAATCTTGACTTGTTGCGTCGTTGAGACCCTTCAGCTTGCGAATGTCCTTGGCGTCTCTCTGCGTTGAAACTCCGCGGCAGGCTATATCTCGGGTCAGTTGAGATGCTCTTTGAAAAGATATGAGGCGATATGGAATGAAGTGAGTGGGAACATGCAGGTGAGTGAGAATGAGATTGAGAGTGAGACTGGAAGTGAGATGAGGCAGGGCGGAAAGTGAAAGAAAAGGCGAACTCACGTTCATCATCCTTTGATTTCTCACCCAAGGATTCCTGACTGGCATACCCCTCGTCGCCGTCGGTGGGAGCGAGATGCTTGTCGTTGTAGCGTTCGATGTCGTCGATAAGGTTCTGCAAAACGATAGTGTCGTGAACCGTAAGGTCTGGGGCGACGATGAGATTACTCATTGCATGTGGGTTTTGGAAAGAAAAGTCTCGAAAAAGTCCCAATGCCAAGACCCTGCGCGCGCGACGAGGAGGAGTAAAATGCAATTGAGAGAGAAGCGGAAACGGAATGAGAAGGAGGAGAGGCGGTCAAACAATGAATTCCCCCCGTCTACTCAACCCATTTGAAGCTGGAGGAAAGGGATTTTTTTAGGGGCTTCAAAATGGGGAAGGGGATTCCAAAAAATAAAAAAGTGGGAAGACACGATGCCGTTAAAGGAGGTGACCAGTGCTTTATTACGGGTACCCAATCTCTTCAACCCATGTCGCGTTTCTGTTTCGCTTGCGCTGGGAAACCGGCAGCGTCTCCAAAGGTCACTGACTAACCGCAATGGAAAAAACAGCCCATCTCGTTGTGAAATAGTGCTGGGAGTTGCGTAAGCGGCGGCAACATCATGCGAGCGCCGTATATTTCTTCAACTCTGTTGCCAATACATTGGGGCTCCATGGTCTATGTCATCCATTTCTTCTACTCCCCCGGCAACTACGCTTCTACTTTTACCATCATTGTCTCTTCCCGTCTCCTCATTCCCCTTTCTGCTCTTCCGTCCATTTGGAGACTTTCCGAAGGGAGCTACGAGCTATCTCCTTTGGAGCTTCTCATTGGTTCGGGATTCGGTAGAGCCTCCATCAATTGGGGGGCTTTTGTTCATCTGCGACCCCAAAGACAAAAAAGCATGTGTCAGTGTGCCAGTGCTCTCTGAAAACAGTCATTGGCGACACCTTGACAGAGACTCGAAAGACCGTGGCTGCATAACATATCAAAGTCTCTTTTCCAATCAAAGTCTTTTTGGTGTATAAACCCAATTGACAGAGATGCTTCCAATCGGTATTCCAGGTCCAAGAGAAAACAAAAGTCGGTCAGACCTTATCAGTTCAGTGAGTCCTGTTAGTGCGGGACTTTTCACCAGTGTCGCGCATTTCTCACCTCAGGTGTCGCGTAATACCACCAAAGCGCAAGCAAGGAGCTTCCAGAGATAATAATTCCAATGGTTGAACCAACAACTGGAGCCAAGATCGGCAAAATTTCCCATCTGATTTCCCATTTTCTTCAGCCTCTTCAGCCAACGGGCTGCATGCCAACTTTACTCTCCTTTTCCTGCAGGCGCAATCACAAATTGCCTTGCTCGAACCCCTGCACAACCCAGTTCTAGAACGTCACTGGACGCTAGCAAGCAGCCGGGGGGATGAAAGCTTGCGTTGACAGCGTGGGTGGGTACCTTTGGACCCTGAATCAATACCCTGAAGCGGGCAGTGAAGGTGAAACATGCAAATTGCATACTGTGCCAATCGAACTTGTGGGAGCATGCATCGAAAGCGAGAATGTGCTCAAAGATAACCGATAACTAGAGGCTCAACAATTGCATAGGAGCAGCACAGACAGCCATTGGTAAAGTATACGGGTATTGGACGTCTTTTGGATCTCGAGAGCTGTACGTCGTATCTTGGTACGAGATGAAAGTTGATGGGCCAATTGGAACTCTGCCCTTTGGCTTTGGAACCTTGATGTTTAAGCTTGTCCCTGCCGAAGCGCCCCGACCATCGACTTCACTATCTCCGAGATTGAACTTGGGCACGACGCGGCTCCAGCACCTTTTTGGTGCTCGCCCACCGGCTCGGCTCGTAATTACGCGGGCCGATACACTCGCCAGGATAAACTTTCCACCGCAAAGCATTCTTGGAACAGGCAATGGGAGAAAAGCGGTCCCTTTAACAAGTTGTACACCAGAAAAAAAGTGTCAGCCATGCTGGTAGCAGTGAGTGCTAGATGGCGTCAATGTATATGTTCTCCAGTTGTTCTTAGATGCCTTTTGCTTGATTTTCTACTTTGAGAATAGAACGAAAACAGAGATGGGCCATCGTATGATTCGCTGTTACCCATGATAGGAGTACGTACACATGTCTAGACGCCAGTGCACATATCACCCGATGGATAATATTTGAATCGATCATCAAAGGCGATCTCTCGAGAAACCATTCAAATTGCTAAGTAGGATTCTGTGACTACTTCCTTATGCACAGCCTCCCATCCAGGTTTCTCTTGCCGAATATCACTGCATGGTCGCCCCTGTTTGCCTCGCAGCCACGAGACGTCGGACTGACCCAGATGGACGGATTATCGGCAAGCCACAAAGCTACCTTCACCTTAGTCGCGAGCAACCTGCTGTGGGATCTGTATGAGGCGTTCCACTGTCGGTTACCGCAAAAGATCCTCTTCAAGCTTCTCGACGACGATGCCGCCGGCGTATACCTGACGTTCCTGAGCGAGGATGACATAGATGGTGATGTTGACGTTACGGTCTGAGCAACACTTCAGATGCGAAGATTCATAAGTAGATTCGATGAAGCACCTAATGAAGGACAAAAGGGTCTGGATATAGGGAAGGGTCTAGGTACCTAATAGGGCTTTGACACAGACCACCGATGAAGGAAGTTGACACCGCGTGTTGTGAAGGCTGTTCAACTGTATCTTGGAGTCAAAAGCGCTTGTGCGTTGCAAGACTTAAATTAAATGAGATAGTCTATAGACGAATGACTCAGCCTTGACCTGCGTTCGAGTTAGATATGTAATCACAGGTCTTCATAAAGAGTCCAAATTCACTGGCTTATCACACTTAGCTCCAGTTAGGATAATATTCTGATGGATTGTGTAATAGCGCAGATGGCATTGGTAGTCCATGGAACAGATATCACGAAGCTTTTTACTTGTATCATAAAACTTTGCTGTTGGAGCAAACATAACCGTGGTCTACCATGTTGAGAAAGCGACCAGTCTCACTTCTAGGTGAGGAAGAAGCGAATCATCAAGCAATGAGAACTCAAGGCCGCATACGGCGCATAATAGTCTTTGATTCCACGATACAATGTGTGCCGCAGACACCAAGAATGACGGGCCGATCCTGTATCCACCGGCCTTCACTCATTGCTCCCAATACCCCTTCCAGAACCTGTGGTGTTCCCTAGGACTACTTACAAATTTCGAGATGAATAGGAGTGACAGAAACATACTGAGCGCCTTATCTCCAGCTGTCGGGCTGGATCAAGGCAATCACTAGTTTCATGACTTGGTACGCTCTTCAATCTGAGCAGCCTCGATATTTGCCTCGTATTTCTCGTCGGTGATGGAGGGAGACCTGGCGCGACCAGGGGCTACCACTGCCCTACCCCTCATCTGTGCCCACACTGTCTTGTGGGTAGGTTGCATGAAAAGAGCGTCCATGTCTTCAAGTGTCAGGCCTAGTCATATTTTGATTAGCAAATGCAAATGCTTCAAGATAGCGAATAGGTAAGCATACCCTTAGTCTCTGGCACAAAGAAGAATGCCCAAATCCCCATGAGCATCAAGATACTGCTAAAGAAGAAGTATGCGCCGTACCCCAGATCGGAGATCATGTAAGGTGTGGAGCGGGCGATGATGAAGCTTCCGAGCCAGGTTGTGGCTGTTGTGATAGAAACGGCCAGCATTCTAATTTCCAGTGTCTGCACCTCAGAAGCGTAAAGCCAAGTGATTCCTTGCCACGTTGCGCAGATGATGACCTATGGTAATAGTTTCAGTGTTTCTGCTACGAAGCAGGCACATCTCGATGCGAAGGCAACTTACTCCGTTAATGTAGACACAAGCCATGGCGAGATAGCCCCAGCCGTCCCGTGTGACTTGGCCTGCCGCGGCAGCTGCAGCAGGGTCTGCTTTCTATACAAAGTGTCAGTACGAAAGTGAAACGGGTCATCTTGCTTCAATCCCATGTCTTGAGACAGAACAGCTAGGAAAGAATCCTACCATGACATATCCTCCAATGTACCACATCGGAATACAGCCAAGTGCAGATCCCCACAATAGTCCCTTTCGTCGACCGACTCTCTCAGCAACCCAGAAGGTGAAGAGGAACATTCCAAAGGTCTTTGCGATGCCGTAAAAACCAGTAGAAAAAAGCTTCGTGGATGTCCCAGTGATTCCAAGACTCTCAAAAATTCTGGGGGCGTAATATGTGATGATATTTACACCTACAGGCTTATTTAGACATTGTAGTTAAGAAAAGGGGTCATAGATATCGTACGTACCAGTGAAACTCTGAAGGAACATGAGCGCCATGCCCAAGCCCATGCGGTTTCGAATACCCTTTTGGAAAAGCTTTTGGAACATTTGCTTCTTTGTCATGCGTTGAGACATACGCTGTTCGACCTGAGTGCGAATATCGTTCATCTCACGGCGAATGTACTCGTGTTCTGCAGGCAGACCACGGATCTGGGTCAGAATCCTTTCTGCAGAGTCAAAATGGTCTCCACGAGCGAGCCAACGGGGAGACTCTGGGCACCAGATCATGCCTAGCGCAAGTCCCAAGCCCGGCACTAGCTGAATTCCGAGGGGTACGATCCACTGGGCTCTTGAGTCGACATTAATCGTCCTGTCAGTAGCATACTAAAATCTTCACGTCAGATCTTTGACTCATGAATCTAAGGATAGCACGATGAATGTATTTACATTGATCCAAAAGCCCAGCATACCACCTCCCTGAGAGGCGATTTCGAAGATGCCGACAAGTCGACCACGGATCGAAGGCGGGGCTGTCTCGGCGATGTAAACGGGAACAGTCAACGATGATGCTCCGATTCCCAAGCCAGCAATAGCACGGCCAGCGTAGATCAAGTTCAGGTTTCCGCTGGCTGCAGTCATAAGAGTGCCACCGATGAGAAACACGGTTCCGGCGAGCATGACGGTTTTCCTGCGACCAAATTTCTCGGCGATGGGGAAAGTGAAAAGGGCACCAAAGAAGCAGCCAGCCTAGAACATCCATTTAGTCACGTTGAAGCCCATGTGAAGTTCTTAGTCAGCAAGCGTACCTGAAACGTTGAGACGATGTTGCCCTGGATGGTATCGCGGGTTGTCGAGCTAACTTCGTCCAGGTGAAAATCACGCCGGAACGAGTCCAATGCCATTGTTCCCCCAATGACTGCAGTATCATAGCCCACTGAAAGAGCGAGTTAGCAAGTGATCTGTAAGGAGGTCATGCTAACGACCTGCGGTCAACCAGAGACCGGCCCGCTCGCTAACTGACGTGGGTTGATGTCGTGCTGTGCACCCAGCAGTATTAAACTCTCAAACTCAAAGACGTGGTTCATGCCAAATGCCCTTTCATCTAGGTAGAGGCAAAAGTTGATTCAGAAACACAAGGAAACCACGTACTAGCCAAAGCTGACATGCTCGCGACGAGAGCGATCAAGTGAATGCGCCAGTTTCGCACCTCTGGGGGATCAAGCGTCCCGGACGCATGGGTACTGAAGAAGCCCATATTAGGCTTCCAGATTCAAAAGGCGGATGGGAACAGTATGGCAAAATGGAGAGACCGGAGCACAACACTCAGGAGGGATAGAAGAACAACCTTTGAGTTGTGATGGAGAGAGGTAGGACCCGGCAGACCAGTTCATCGTGGAGACGAAGCGGGGAGGCAAGCTTTATCTAGGCCGCCATGACGTTCCACTCTACAATAAGCTTGAACTGCCTTCCATCGAATGGAAAGCCCATGTTTGGAACAGCGTTGTGGAACGGTCGAGGATCGGCGGTGTTTACCCCGCGACACCCCCATGGGGAAAAACTAGGTGGCAGTCGTTAAAACTTGCCTGGGACCCGTAACGAAGAGTCGGGTTTGTGGAGGGGGCAACAAAAATCTTCATTCTCACGGTCCAACCAACCATTCACCAGTGATGAATGTGATCACATCTTGCCCCTGCACAATTGGACAGACTGGGCAGCAAACACTTGGCGTCAGCAGATGTGTGGAGTAGCCAAGAAAGGCTCCAAAGAGGGGGGCAGAGGTCGCACAAAACGAACATCTCTCTTCATATCATCTGGCTTACTTGTCTGCGCTGAATTTGATATCTCTCAACCAAAACTCAGTGCTGTTGTCGCCATTCACCACTACCAAACGCAAGTGTGCCAAGGTTGTTTCCTCAGTTACATCCACTTACACAGCCCACCGACTATATGCATAAACCACGCGAGGATGAGGGGTAACACCATCCAAGATCCTGAATCCAACGAAGACACCAGAAAGAGGCAGGGTGGACTGAAATACTAGTCGGTGGCCCTACTTCTAACAAACCGCGCTTCTGTCATATCTAGACCCGGTTCTCGACAATCGAAGTTGAATGTCACGGGATTTTGAGAACCTTTTCTATGGGTTTTCCTCTTTCAGAGCTAGTGAGCCAAGAAACCAGCTACTTTTGCATATCTCATTCCAGAAAAGTTCTGTATGAGATAAGGTTCCATATGGAAAAAGAAAGATGAAAAGCCCAGCTCAGCAATACGCTAGTTCAAAAGGAATGCCGAGACGAAAATAGACGGGGAGAACCGGACGCAGTAGGTCGAATGTGCAACCAAGTTGATATAATGAGCTGAAACCCGACGTATGATTACCGAGAGCGACCTCAGGTCCCAAAGAACCGGAAGGTGCAAAATAACATTTCCTCTCCGGAGTTGGATCAATGTGTGGGTGACAAGCCATGACGGGACCGGGGTGTTCCCCCCGTCTGGCAGTTCATCTGTACCCGGCGCGGGTCTGGATCTGCCCCCCAACCTCCTCATCGGTAGTCAAGTTTGAGTTCCGAGACCACGCGAGCCGCTGCGCTGTCACGAAGCGGCTCCATCAGGGACCACTCATAACCCCCGATGACCTCGGCGGAACAGCCCAAAACTGATGATGGCTTCTTGGTTCTGGCTTGGCTCCTGTCTATCTCGTATGCGCCGCGTCGCCCCAGATCTCGTTGGCATGCAGGGCTGGTTCTGCGACGAGATTCGTTCGGGCTCCCAATTCTCATAACTTCCATGTCTATCTACCCATCGATAAATCTCTAGCAGGGCTCCTGTGATGTTACGGCGCATGCAGAGAGACTCCCCGCATGGAAGGAATATCCAGTAGTTCAGTTGGCGCCGAACCATTTCATCACCGCTCAACTTGATTCGTGGCATCGTCTCCCTCTGAACATCGGTTATACCTTCCAGACTGCGGGATATCATACAATTCCACATTTTTAGCTGTGCTCAGCCACCCCCGGCCTGGGGTCCACGAAGCTAGTGATGGCGGACTGTACGACTTGGCGCGGAATTCTCACTGGTTACGGGGTTGCTTTTCCGTCGGTTAATCAGCCTATCTCAATATTGAAGCTTTCAACCAGCCCGAGATAAAACACACCCAAAGCGAGTTCTTTATGGCATCATGATCTCTCAAAGCAGCTCGTGGGACACCATCGATTTTGATCTCCCGAGTAAACTGGATTCGGCAATAATATGTTTTGAGACCTACAAAAGATGGCCTCAAAGTCATGTCTCGGCTGTATTACTCACACACGCAGTCTTTTGAAGTTCTGAGATTTTAGTAGATGGAAAGGTGCTTATCAGGATGGCTGTAAGTCATGAGTTTGAGTCCACTTCGAGCAGCGAACCGACTCCTGAGTAACTCCACGGGCTAAGACAGCCCGCTTCACACATTTCTTGGACCCCCAAAAATTGGACTTTTGTGTGAAAACCATGGAACGCCGAGGCTGACACGAGATTGGCGTTGAGATGAGACTAGCAAGTCAACAGACGCTATGCAGTCACACGCTCTCGGCCAACTTCCGCGAGGCGAGAAAAAGCTCGAAACCCAAAATTTGAGTTATCTATGGATACTTCAGCGAAGGATCATTATTGCGTGAGGCACTCGTAGTCCCGCCGTCACATTGGTCTGCATTGTATTTCTATTGTGAGGTCTGTGCCACAATCACATACTGACCATGAAAGCTCATCTCTTTTCCAAGATCCAAAATCCGTCTTAATTCCATCAATTAGGTCATTCATCTCAAGAAAAACCTGGACCTAGTCGAGACACTAGTCGTAAGTGAAGTCTTGGGTCGAGATTTCAATGCGTCCTTAGACGATGGCATAAGAGTAAACATAAGGGATCACAGATTCGTTACGCGTTCCAACTGTGGCTTGTGGCGGTGCAGTCATGTCTCCAAGACCCAGTATCAATATTCATGCTTGGCCTTCGGAAAGCGCGCTAGAATATCCACAGTTGTTCAAGTTGCCATTACTAACATCGGTCTAGGAACTGACTCCAAAGACCACCACGCAGTGCAGGACATTTAGACGTACGAGTCAGCCGGCAACGGCGCAGAAATTTTCAGGGGGAGGAATATGACACCCTCCGCAACCCCCCCCACATCGTGGAGTTGAAAGGGGGGGGAAATATCCCCACCCTCCATTCCCCCAGCTTTGGACAAAACGTTCCGCGCTCATCCACACACTCCAACCCAGCGGTGCAGAGGCCACACCAAACCATTACAGGCAGGCAGACAAGGCAGTGCGAGTAACAGTCAACGGTAGCAGGGGAAAAAACTCGAAGGGTCCCAAAGGGAGAGGATGTCCGCCACTGCACAAGAGCCCGCACGCGATCGCAACCGCCAACATGCAGGAGAATAGTGGGACGTCGGCTCTGCCAAGTTACTCCCGACCAGCGAGGAGATCAGTCAGGTCCAGGGAAGGGTGTTTGACTTGCAAGTAAGTTTCTCTCACATAGTTCACGCTTGGTACCTTGGGACTCCGCTCCGGCCGCCGATGAACGGTCGTCGGGCAATCTCCCGACGTGGTACTGTCGAGGAGGTCCAGCCAACGACCCGACATCACCGGCAATGCTCCGTGCCGATGGATGATCACCTTGCTGACGCTCGACCCACAGACGCCGCAAAGTCAAATGTGATGAGAGTCGGCCTCGGTGCAGCCATTGCGAGCGCCTGAATCTAGAGTGCAAGTGGCGGCCGCAGTCAAGCAGCTTCGCCGCCCACGCAATGTTAGCAGCCGCAGGGTCCTCCGGGTCCGGTCGTAGTCCGGCTATCCCGTCCCATGCTACCGATGCCTCCGTGTCGCCGGCGGCGTCGATGTTCCAGCCCATGCAGGCCGTTGATGAGATATTCGACTATGCCAACTTCTTGTGGGATGCTGGCGATGCTTGGCAACAGGTCAACCCCGAACCCGGTCAACAGATGAGCCTTGATGGGCAAGTTCTCGTAAGACATCCTTCAACCCGACCCCAAATGCATCTCATGAACTCGTCATGCTAACTACTTATCCAAAGAGGAATCAATTTGCGGGTCAGCCCCTTGGAAACCGGCAACCGCCGCTCATGAGTAGCCCGCCGAATCTCACCTTCCCAGATCGAACAGCTATGGATGAGCTACCAGACCCATCGCCAATCCCTGATGCTAGTAGTCAGTCAGAGCAAGCTATGGCATTGCAGGTCCCGACTGAAGATGACAGACTCATGGACTACTTCAGCCGCGTCGTCGTCCCCCCTATCCTTGCCGAAGTTGAGACGCAGAAGAAGTGGCTGGCCGTTCGACAGGTTGTCGTCGACATGGCGAGTGCGTCGCAAATGGTCAAGTGGTCGGTACTCGCCTTCTCAAATCTGATGCTATCACGTCGCGAAGGCTCCTGGCTAGCCAGTCCGGAGGATCATTATCAGAAAGCCGTGTCAGAAGTGGCTACCTGTGGCGATGAGTCGTCGCCCGCGACCGACAACCCGAGTTCACGCAGGGAACACCTTCTCGCGACGCTCTTCTTCCTCAGTTATGTCGACATCCTCCGAGGTCAGATCAAGGCTGCAGACTCGTTCCTGAAGCGGGCGTATGGGCTGTTCCAGCAAGGCGAGAAGAGTAGCTTTGCCGCTATCGAGAAGCAATTTCTCCAGTGGATGCGCTTACTCGATGCCCGTGCCGTGTCTGCTGGTGGACAGGGCTTGCTCCTTTCCAAAGATGATGAGCTGCTCTTAGTCGAAGCATCACCAGCCAGCTTCGATGGCGGAGGCGCAGACTCAACCAGGGAGGACTTTGGAGATGGAGATATTGAGGATGTTCTGTTCCAAGTCCTTTACCAGCCCGGCATTGTCTTCTTCCAAAAAGTCCAGAGCTTCATGGGTCGGATATCGAAGATCGACCCTTGGCATAGGTCACGTGGCACCGTCGAGGACGAGACGGAGGTCATGAACATCGGAGCCGCCATCGCAGCGGATCTGCGGACCTTGTACGAGCAGCGGCCCCCGCTCATGGACTATGCCGTGGCGGGGAAATTGACGGAGCCTCACGTTTCACCACACCTCGCGTTCGTCATCACGCGTGCCTTTCGAACGTATCTTGCCAACTATCACGCAAGTAAAGTCCACCTACATAGGGTCGCATACAAGACCTTTCCGCTTACTAAAGAAGCCAACGACGCTCTCAATCAGATTCGACGCCTAGCTCGACTACTAGTTGATTCATTAGATGCAGATAACTCTTTACCGGTCAACATGCTCTGGCCTTTACTGATGCTGGGGTCGGAAGAGCAGGACCCCCAGGAGAGGATATGGGTCAAGACCCAGATCTTGCGTATGGAGAGCGTTGCCGGCAACGCGAAGATCACTGCCCAGGTTCTAGAAGAGGTACAGACGAGGCAGGATGCGGAGAAGGTCCGGGTTGACATCCGATCCGTGATGCATGCCATCTTCAACTCATGTTTTGCTATCGTCTGAGATGCCTTAGTTCTCGACAACTTCAGCAGGCTTCATCACCTTTCTGTACTTGACCAATGGGTATTTGCGAGCTTCTTTAACTTGAAGCACTTGCCGAGGATAGCTCTGTATTGGAAGTGTTCGCTCGCTTCGTAACTAGCTCAAGTCGCGAGAGCATTAGATACCCCTTTTTTTTGTTCATCTCAATCAAACCAGCTTTACAACATGTTCCATCTACCCAAGTCACCAATGATCTGTGGACTTCTCTTCCACGCCACGAAAACATGAATCATTGTCGTCCTAGCGAGAGCTAGATCAATTTCCGAGCTGACAAGCTGCGTGACCAGATTCATCGGCTGCAACCGACGGGCGACACTAGCGTACCCGATAAGTGTGGGTCCCGATCGGAAGGCCCACAGACGGCCGCGACGCCGATTCACTCCGATCGGTTACTCTCAGAACTCAGGTTCTTTGTCCGGTTTCGACATGGATTTCTGTGAAAGTCTGGAGTCCTTCAAGCAGATGACCTGGCCCGTGGGGAAGACTGAGTGAACAGCTCACGACTCATGACCCTGCCCGCGTCCTGAGACTCCAACTCCACAAGAAACCCGCCTTGCATGCTCGGTTCATGCCCGTGGGGAAGGTCGGCTTGTCGGAAACATGCCACCTTGAAGAGCCCCACGCCTCGATGCCCACCGCGGGGTTGAGTGCTCCGAGCCACGGAGTTCAAAAGAGACTTGTATCGACTGTGACCTTTCGAATCTGTTTGGTGTTTCTTTTGATTATTCCTAAGCCTCCATCCGATACCCCCAACTCACTTGTGCTCACTTTGTCAAGCGCATCCTACAATCCACCATATCATTCACGATGGCTGCTAAGACTTTCCCCGCCGGTATTCACGTGCCTAGTTTGACCTGGTTTGGCAACGATGCCAGCCAAGAGATCGACTGGGACGTGCAGACCAAGCACCTCGAGTTCTTGGTGAAGTCTGGCCTCCACGGAGGTAAGTAGTAATCCCAAGAAAAAGCCAAGAGGGGTCAAATCTGACAGGACCACAGTCGTCCTGGCTGGCACCAACGGCGAGGCTGTCACCCTCACCAACGATGAGAAGACCAGACTCGTCAAGGCCACAAGAGAGGTTGCCGTCAAGGCCGGTCGTCCCGATCTCACCATCACCATGGGCTGCGGTGGCCAGTCCACCCGCGCCGTCATCGATGAGACCAAGCTGGCCAAGGCCGCTGGCGCCGATTACGCTCTTGTCCTTGTCCCTAGCTACTTCCACTTCGCCATGAACGAGGAGGCCATCGTCGGCTTCTTCGAGGAGCTCGCCGACGCCAGCCCCATCCCCATCATCATCTACAACTTCCCCGGTGTCGCCGCTGGCCTCGATGTCAACTCTGACATGCTCTCTCGCCTGGGCAAGCACGCCAACATCGTCGGTGTTAAGCTCACCTGCGGTGGAATCGCCAAGGTCGCCCGCGTCCGCGCCGAGTTTGACCCCTCCGAGTTCTTCGCCCTCGCAGGGCAGAGTGACTGGCTCGTGCCCGCCATGTCCGTCGGCAGCAACGGCACCATCACCGGCGTCGCCAACCTCTTCCCGAAGTACTGCATCAAGATCTTTGACCTCTACAACGCCGGCAAGATCGAGGAAGCCTCCGCCGCTCAGCTCAAGCTGGCCCAGATGGAGTGGGCTTTCGGCAAGGGCGGTATCAACGGCACCAAGTGGGTGGTTGCCAAGTCCCACGGATACCCCTTGACCAGCTGCCACTGCAGACGCCCCTACCCTCAGTACACCGACGAGAAGAAGCAGGCCTGGATTTCGGACTTGGTGGCGCCCTTGGCCGTCGAGGAGGCCAAGCTCAACTAGGATGCTAGTTTTATTTCAATGATGGGGCTACGACTACATTTATGAAGTGGTGTACACAATGGCATGCATAGGCGTTTAGGCAACTTTGGTTAGAATAGCACAAAAGCTATGTCAGAAGATTTTCAGACTTACAGAGTCTTCCGAGCAGAATAATTGAACTGTTTTGTCCACCGGAAATCGATATAATCAATGCTATGTTCATGTGCGCAAGTGGAGTGTCTCATGTGGATAACCTCGTGGCCAAATCGAATGAATGCACGTGAGTATCAGAGCAGGGGGAAATAGTGTATTGACCTAGTAATGAATGACAGACTCTAGATCTATACATGGAATGACTGACGAACCCCCGTCGAGTGAGTGATTGTAAGTTATCTACAAAGTGATTTGAAGGAAACCTCAGATAGCAATCGGGTGAAGGTAGCTGGTTGCACAAGATCTTGGTGCAAGGTGTTGTCGAGCATGACCCTCACAAGTTGCTCTCCAACGCATACGAGTCGCCAGCTTCTAGCATTTTCAATTAGTGTCATCTCTTATCAATCATCGCAATGGTACAGATCACAATTACTTACCAATTTCAAAGCAGCTTGAGGTCCTTCAGATTTTGGCCATAGACCCCGCTCACAGAAGCTTGTAGGCCTTAGCATCGTCCTGGCTGCGCTTGTACGCCTTCGCATCGTCCTGACCTCTCTTGTAAGCCTTTGCGTCATCTTGACCACGCTTGTAAGCTTTAGCGTCATCCTGGCCTCTCTTGTAAGCCTTCGCATCGTCTTGACCGCGCTTGTAAGCCTTCGCGTCGTCCTGGCCTCTCTTGTAGGCCTTGGCGTCGTCTTGACTTCTCTTGTAGGCCTTCGCGTCGTCTTGGCCACGCTTGTATGCCTTCGCATCGTCCTGGCCGCGCTTGTAGGCTTTGGCATCGTCCTGGCCTCTCTTGTAAGCCTTCGCATCATCCTGTCCGCGCTTGTAGGCCTTTGCGTCGTCTTGACCACGCTTGTAAGCCTTTGCATCGTCCTGGCCTCGCTTGTATGCCTTAGCATCGTCCTGGCCGCGCTTGTAGGCTTTAGCGTCATCCTGAGCAGGACTGAAGGCAGTGGACTCCTCGCGCTGATGGACCTTGGCGCCAGCCTGAGCCACCGCACCACCGTGGGCACCTACTGGAGTGTTAGAGAGATAGAATTCTTGACTGGCGAAGTGGTCAGGGAATGTTAGACATACCAAATGTCTCAGCCGCAAGGGCAGTCAAGGGGGCGATAAGGAGGAGGGTGTTGGAGAACTTCATTTTGAAATTGGAGGTGGTTGGCTGGTTATTGGTTGTGAGGCACTTGATGTGTTTGCGTTCGATGGAAGCTGTTGTGTAGAGAGCTGGTTGAGATGAAAACTATCTCGGACGGGTTGGGGAAGCTAAATATTAATGTTCAGATCATGGTTTCCGTAAAGATAGTATTCAATGTCCAATAAACTGGAGGTTCATTGCTCGATTGTCACATCGCCATCAACAAACATTGTCATTCGACTGACAGAGTCTCATTCATGCTTGAAAATGGTCAGCTCCGCCAGCAACACCGTTTGATGTCATTGAGGCACATCACCTTGATGCAAAAGTATAACCTGAGGTCATCATGTTGTGGTACAGTCGCGAGAAACTAAGCCTGTCAAGATGGTCAGATAGTCAGTGTATGAGTCAGTTGTCAGACGGTATAATGCTGCCAGTCCTCAGAAAGAGTGGAGACACAAAATGCTCAAGCGGACTTTAGTCATACGAGAACTTGGGATTTGTGTCACACAAAGTATTATGTCAGACTTAATCTGTATATACATTGCCTTATTAATTGGAACTTCGGGAACTGAAACTTCGCGGCGGCAGACTCTTTCTGCGATCCAGTGAACTAGCCGTACATGTAGGATCGTGCGGCTTAGTCTCGAAAAGGACCGCCAAACTTGCTCCAATTCGGTGTTAACTCAGTTTCGGCTGCACGTGGTCTTACCACGATACCAAGATCACGATACGTTTTCCTGCATCTTTTCACAAAATTTTGCGACCAATTTCCATTTACAACAATGAACCTTCTCAAATGGCCTTGGTCTCGCATTTCTGGTCTACCGGAATACCAAATAATGAACGAGAATGGCTCCGATGCCGGGTCTGAGGAGCACCTGCTCGCCGAAAAGAACTCTCTCCGCCCTCGCAATGGATCTGCCAGACTATCCGATCAACTCTGCCGGCCCTATCTCTGGATTCATCTTCTGATATTCACGTTCTATACCACCCTCTTCCTCACATTCATCATTTCACTCCAAAGCGAAGAAAAGATATGCGCTGACGACCAGACTATGGTATGGTGTAAGTTGATTCTGTTTTAGGCATATGTTTTTTCGGAATTTCTGTGCTGACCGTTGATCTCTGGCCAACAGCACCGGCCCGAAAGGCCCTGAAGCCAGAACGATCCTTGTGGATGAACGAAGTGACGGATGGTAATGTCTATCGAGGCAAGCCAAGACCAGAACTAGACGCAGCGTGGGACGAGCTCGTCTTGTACAGCAATCTCAAACTCAGAGCTGAAGACCTTAAAAAAATCAACAGGACTTCTGTTCGACTTTCGGATGCATCTGGCCAGCTGACCGACTATTACTGGAGCGGGTTGAACGTCCATCATCAGATTCACTGCTTGAAACTCGTTCGTCAAGCTCTGTACCCAGATTACTACTTCAAGGGCAATGTGAAGCTGAAGCGTCATCTGGAAGACCACATCGATCACTGTGTTGATAGTAAGAAGTTCCTAAAGCAACCATTGTCCGCTCTTGATTACTTTGCTAACATGCTTGTGAATCGCTTGCCAGACATCCGCATGGCTCTCATGTGCAAAGCAGATATCTCAATCGGTTCATATGACTGGGTCGACAACAACCGAAGGCCATTGACGAATTTCCGAACCGAGCACAGCTGCTACAATTGGGATCTCGTCAATAATTGGGCTCGAGATCGCCACTTCGATATTTACGACAATGTCACAATTGTTCATCCGTTCCTTGGTAAGAAACACCCCATTCATTATGCTGTAAAACATGCTGATGTGTCCGTGATACTCAGGCAAGTCGTATCCTCTCGACTCTGATGGCAATTATGTGTTCACTGAGGAAATCGATCCATTTTTGGGCAACAAGATCACGCCACCATTGTAACAATAACGACGAGTGGTCAATCACTACCCATCATGAGACCAGAAGTATCGGAAGACAGTTCGCTTCAACATTAGGGGGAACGATTGAGGGTACATGCATGGTGCTGGATCAGGTTGCAAGTTGGAGGTTCCAGTATCTGTCCATTGAGGTCCATGATTGCTTCCACGAATGGAGTTTTATCTGCACTTATAGTTGTATCAAAAGAATGGAATCTTGTAAAACCTTCACCTCCTCGGCCATGGACTTTAAGTACTTCAGTCAGTGGACGTGGAAGGGAAGTGGATGATGGGGGCTTAAATTAATATACGCGTATGTTGTTGAAGTTTTGACTACTAAATGACACTTGACGATCTGCGACTTATTTGTGGATTGTGCAGGATCCCGCAGTCCAAGACCAAATGTCTTATGTATTCACGATGGTCGCAGCCAGATGCTATTCTTAATCGCATAGTGATCAACGCTTCCACCAACCTTTCCTTTTATTCCTCCTCGACAGTGCGGCTTAGTATTGCATAAAGTTCACAAGAGTTCAAATGCTATATCTGGGAACAGGTTGTCACCTAAAGGCTAGCCCACTGCCGGCCGGGTTCCTCACGCACGGTCAATAGGTCATGGGGCGGTTGAGGAGTATCCGAAGCCAAAGTTACGCGGGGTTGCCAAAGGTGATAGATATTGTTTAGAAGACGGGCATCGGCCCGACGACTATGAGCTGGGAAGTAATGGGTTGACAACCCTCATTGTGCAACGACCTTTCTCTCCACTCACCCGAAGCCGAAGACCAGGGCCGGATGACAGGCAAAATTCCGAGGCTTCCGCTGTGCAGCAGGCGGCCCGGTGGGCCAGCCGACGGGAGGATGCATTCAGTCTTGCCGGACAGATTCGACTTATCGGCTAGAGTAGCTTCATTCGGCGAAACACTCAAAGACGAACATGGTTTGTGATATCGAACTCTGCTACTCCGTCTTCCCAGGCAAGGATCCTCGATTAAGGTTTCCGGCGTCTGCGGGGCGGGCCGCTTCCGTACGAGTCATGTCCGGCGGCTGGAAGCTTCGGACGGACATTGCTCAGTGCTCACCCATCCTTGACCCGATGCATTAACTCCGCAATGGTATCCTAGGAATTGATACGGAGTAATCTTTGGATCACTAATTCTACGTAGTGCCACATCGGAATGGTCCTAGCTGTACAATTTCTCCAGTCCCGCAGCCCTGAAGTGGCCATAACTAAGCCGCGATTTATATCGGCCAAACCACCTCCTTAGTGCCGGACAGCACGAGCTGCGAGGTAAAATAACTGATATACCACGTTTGCCTATACAGCTCGACCAACGGTCTATGTCTTAATCGGGTAGAAGTTGATCTTTCGACGCACACGCGAAACCCTCCATCCTCGTAGCCGACTCTTGGCTTAATCATGGTCCACTTTGTGGATCTCCGACTGCATTTCACTTGCATCGCCACGAAGCAGCAAATAAGCCAGTAAAGGCCGACGGAACCTACCTTCCAAAGAGGTAAGCCGAAGCCAAGTGGGTTGTAGCTCAGGCAAATCCCAAGGGTCTGTGGCATGATATCTGAGATATCTCCTCCCCCAGACCATGCTTAGATTTCGGGACACATTTCGGCAGCGAATCCGAGCGCACTAAACGCCAAACTTGAGCAAGAATTCACGAGTCAAGAGGGTCTTTTGAAGACTTCAACAAGGGTTGAAGGAGTCGAGAATCACTTGGTGAGACAGCCTGGCGAAGTGGATAGGCCAAAGACGTCTTTCACGTAGTATTGAGTTTGGAGAAACACGAGCTGGGGAGCACAAGATGTTTACAAGCTCGGGAAATAAACCTCGCAGGCGAAAGCTGGTAGAAATCGCTAACGTTGTAAATAAAGACCCAGCAACTTTGATCGAAGCGGGAAAACTGCTAAGAATTGCAGGTTTAAAATGCCATTATTCTGTGATTCTAATCTAGATTCCACTAGAACTATCTTGTAACATCTTTGGTATTACTCGTTGACCTGCTTTGAAGTTGCTCTAAAAACATTCATTTTTCATCAAATACAGTCATCACGTATAGGAATGATGGATAGGGAGAAGGCTGCTTCAGTTTCAGGAAAAGATGACTGGACCGCAGTATCTGACCCAAGAGAGAAGAAGAGGATTCAAAACCGAATTGCGCAACGTGCTCACCGTATGTCTCGACAACGATTCTATTGAGGAGTTCAAGCTGACAATGAAGGCAGGTGAAAAGCTTAAACAGCGTCTTCAAGTTCTCGAAAGTTTGGTCAAAGAGAAGAAAGAATTGTCCGCCAACGAACATGAGCCCCGGGAGAAAGACTCGCTCAGCGTACCCACGACCCCAGGACAACGATCAGTACCATCATCAACAGCGCCTCCTCTCAGCTCAACTAGCACGTCCAGAGAATCAATGTCTCTTTCAGAAGATCCCTTGTCACAATTCCCAGAAGTTGCAGAGACCATGTGGCGTTTTCTCGCCCAGACACCGCAGAACCCACCACTAATCGCCAGCCCAGCCGGGTTCTTCAGTGGGGGAAAACCAAATGACATCCATAAAGGATTGGCGCCGGGATGTTTCGACCGCGGAGATCCACTGGCTGTGAGGTTTGATGCCCCCTCGGACCAGATGCTTGGAATGGCCCCAGCCGAGATATCAAGCTGGGAAAACGAAATCGCTTTAGGTTATCTCTCCTCTCCACCGGAAACAGAGGCCTTCCAACGTCGTGACTACTCTGACGAGTTCATGGGTATTCATGGTGGCTCTTGCGCTGGAAAGAACGAACCAAGAACGCCACGGGGACGGGTCGGCTCTATAGCAAGCACTACGTCTCTTTGCGAGAGGCTGAGCTGCTTAAAGCATTGTGCGAAACTTTTGGGCTTCAGCAGCTTGGATGCTGTGCTATCTCTCTACTACACAGCCGACCTGAGCGAGTCACCTGCGCTCTCGAACGAGCAGAGTACCAGTCGCGAGCGGCGGCTTCCCACTCTGCTCTCTGAGATCAGGGAGCATTCCAACATTTGGAACAGATGGGAGCAATCTGGTTTCATCGAAGAAATGCTTAGAGGTGCCGAGTGCTTTTACGCCGAGGAAGTCAAACAAGGGAGGGCTGACTTGGATGAACAACTCATGGGAACTCTCGACGACCCGTTGATGATAGAGTCCGTGCCCGAGATCGCGTGGATCCTGAGAGACAAGGTCCGTATTTCGCCCCCAAGCATCATTACTATGCTATATTGCCGACAGATGGCTTACATGACGGGCCTTGTATTAGTACCCCCGCCTTTGGGCTTTGATCACGAGCCTTATTGCTCAAACAGCGACGGATGGAGAGCAGGCACACCCTCATGGTGCATTTGCATCCGTGATGACGATTTGTCATCCTATGAAGCCTCTCCCACCTGCTACTTTTGCATATAACCTTCGGAATGGCATTCCATAACCTGAACCCTGCACACAGCTGTAAGTGAATTCACCTTAGTAAGTATGTGGGGAATTGGCTGTCGCGTCGGCTCTACTCTACACGCCTGGACGGGAAGATAAAGGACCTGGTAAAAGCCTAAGTTGCGCATGTGGCTAGGTGAGAGAATCGAAGAGGGGCCTTTCTCGGCATTTTTGTGTCTTAAGAAGATAGTGGCTGGTTTATCTTGAAAGTTTCATGGATCTAAGTACTGAAAACTCAAGGGATGCTCCTCCTGCACTTGGCAATATGTCTGATGAGCACCTTAGTAGACTGAAGTAAGGTGCTTTACCTGAACGCGCGACACTATTTGATTAACCATGCGACTGCACTCAAAAGCATGCTGTGCTTTTTCAACATAGCTATAGGGGGCAGCAACAACCAGAATGGGCTTACTTTTTATCAAACCGGGAAGCAATCTGACTGGATAGGTTAACCTACGTTCCAGTCACGAGGATGCAGTTTGAGTCACATGAAGAGGTAAAGGTTAACGCGTGGGGCACGTAACAGTCCTGGTTGCAAGTTGCCAGGGTATTTAGTCAGTCGCCAGATGAGCAGTCAGAATTTCCAGTAGTAAGACAGTCAGATAGTAAATAAGCTAGGTCGTAAGAATGCTGGCTTGCCAATTTGTCAGTCAGCATAATTATGCTACTCTGAACCTTGAACCGAGCTCATGTATCGTATGTTTTTTTTGATTAAGAGGAGGGAAATGTAGGCGAGCGAGTGGGCAAAAATACATGTAGAAGTGGCCTTACGTCCTTGAAGCTCGTACGCTTTCGACATCCTTTTTTTTGCAACAATTTACGATGAAGAGTCTATTTCTTCTGTGCACAGGAGTGACCCAAGTTTTGGGAAACGCCAAAAGTGCAGGCGCCGACGCACTGTGTGTCTTTCCTCGGCCTCTCGCACCCTCCTCTATCTGCACCATCAAGGATGTTGTAGACCTGCCCACCACCATTCGAGACCAAGTCCTGTCCAACTCTTCGGCACTATTTACAAGCTCTCTCTGGACGGGCATTTCTCGATGTTTCAGAGAAGGGCTTGAATCTCTCGAATTCTGCATTTACATCAAGGAAGACTACGGAGGCAAAGGCATCGCTGTCATAACCGAGGCCGAGACTGCCAGGCATATTGTCAAGAGTCAGGGGTTTACCGAACCAAGATATCTTCTCGGCACTAACCAGATACTGCCCAGAATCAAGGTTGCGGCGATCCCTGGCAAAGAATACGGGTTGGTAGCTACCGAACGTATCGCACGGGGTGAGGTGATTCTCAAAGAGACCGCTAGTCTACTGGTTGATTACGCAGCACTCGAATCAATGCCCCGGAATCAGCTGGAGATCATGCGAGCTCATGCCGTAAGCCTACTGAATCCTCACCATCGGAGTCAGATCATGAATCTGTCTACGCACGGATACCATGGAGACGAGGTATCTACCGTCGCTGCAATTGCGAAGAACAATATGTTCTCTATCAGCACCAATAGCAGCCGTACAGACGACCGGTTTTATGCGTTGTTTGCTCAAAGCAAGTTTCCTTTTGGGCCCTTTCATCATGGCGTTGTTCTGATACCATCAAATACTAATATTATCTCTAGCTTCTCGGCTAAATCACGATTGCCGCCCTAACATCGACTACTGGTTTGATCCTCGGACGCTCACGCAGCGAACAACCGCCCTTCGCGACATTGTCCCCGGCGAAGAGCTTACAATCAGTTATGTCGAGCCTTTGCAATCTCGGGATGACAGGCAGAATCGTCTGCATTCCAACTGGGGCTTTAATTGTAGCTGTCACTTTTGCAAACAGCCTGATCTCATGACTAAAGCCTCAGATAAACGAATCGCACAAATTTACTCACTGCTTGAGGAGTTGAAGGACCACTCGACCCAATCAAAGGCCACACCCCAAATGGCCGAGCTTCTTATATCCCTTTACCACCAAGAACACAACTGGAGTTTTCTCAGTGAGGCCTACATGCTTGCTGCAATTGAATACAGCGGTATTGGAGAGCCATGGCTTGCGACAAAGTATGCTAGCCTAGCGATTGATGCTGGTCTACTCTCTCTGTGGGAAGACCATAGGCACGTCAAGGATATGGAAGATCTCGCTAGGGATCCCTGGTCGCATTGGAGTTGGATGTTGAGAAAACATTAAAATCGAGCAATAGCTCAGGTGCAGGGCTGGTGTTGAATATTGAAGTAGTACATGATTTTTCGAAATGTGGACTGATGAATGATAACATGAAGCCAAACGCTGAATGCACTCAATGTGAATTAGCGGACAGAAAATTGGATGCCTAAAAAAGCAGTCAATTTGGTAAATTTACATTTCAAACTGGAACAACTGCGGCGGTGAGCGCCTTGGCGGTTGCACATCCAATCAACATGAATTCTCGCAGGGCGAAGAAGTACTAACCAGGCCGTATGCATGGTTCACAACACCTTTAGGTCCAGATCTGCAGGTTTCTGTACCCTCCTGGGCTTATGCAGATCAGCCGCACGAGTCTAGCCGTCTTTTCACCATTGAGTTGGCAAGCCACAATACCGGCACTACCATGATCACCTGATGGCATATAAACATGCAAGTGAAGCTACCTATCGACCAGAAACGCTCGTCAGTTCACTTCCCCAAGACTTCATGGATCGTCATAGACGGCTGTTTAAGGATGAAAATTATAATTGAGCATTATCTTTCGCCAAATGACCGACTCCCCGGACGCGACCTTCATAGGAGAAAATCATTATCATTTGAAGTTATTATCAACTGTTATCCCTCGTTGTTGTTCGACAACTTCTCAACCACGGTTTTAGAAATAAACGCCGAAGATATAGGCGATGGAGAAGCTGAAGCTCGTTGTCAAGCACTTAAGAAAGCTGAGAGCTGGCATCAAGGATGAGGAAAAGGACAACCAGGAAGTTGATCCCGATTGGGACTTTGACCCAACTGACTACAACGAGAAAATTCTGGGAAAGCTGCAGCAGAATGTTTACGACGCGGTCGAGATGATCAAGATTGCGTTCCTTATCTTTGTTGTCGACGAAGGCCTGCCATCGCAACAAAGATGGCTATACCAGACACTTTTGCTTCATTACCGACAAACTCTAAGCAACCAGATTTATCCTTGGACTTATCTAAGTGCCTTTCTAGCTTGGTACTTTCCGAACATCAACTTTCACCCATACACCTTGGCACTCTTCGCCGACAGCCAGATCCGTTGCAAGTACGCTAGCTTGCCGGATGATCTCAGTTTCTTCTTGAAGCCAATGATCTACTCAGGTGCACGTATTATATTCCGAAAACTATTCGACTTCCGCGATATATCAGTTGCCTTGGAAGCAGTCTTGGGATCTTCCGATTTCTGGCCCACTACTGTCGCGCCAATCTTGCCCGGTTTACTACTCAGTGCCCCGAGGGGTACAATCAATGGATTCGTTCCGGAAGGAAGGCAGGGAATCGTCACGGCTATAGTCGTATGGACGTGTGTTACTACTCTTCCCGAAATTCTTCATTACTCCTTCTGGGTATGGTTTACAGGGCCGGACCTATTTTTGCAGCCTGTGATGGCTGTCGAGTGGTTGCTGTGCTCGATCTTCTGGTTCTCAAACGGTGTTTCCTTCCAGGCAGCTTATACAATGCACCTCTTCGTCAATCAGTATCCTCATCAGGAATTTTGGCTACGACATCATGGTGGAGAGGCCTCACCGATTCTTCGAATGGAGCGCCGGGGGTGCATCTGGTTTGCGATTACGAGCTTTTTCATCAAAGCCATCGAGATGGATCCAACCTCGGCCAGGACAGAGCCTTTTGTGCTCCCTATCAGCACTTCACTAAAGGTTGCTGTTTTCATTGGAATGGGCGTATATTTGGTGAGATATGGAATGGCGATGCGAATGACGAAGTTCAAGCATAAGCCATTGCGACGACCAAACGAATTCCGCATTCTTCGGCTTCGGGCCCAGCCCTGCTTTCAGAACTCACCAGTGCAATGCGATATCATTCACGCAACCTTGGATTCACCTCCCTCATATCGAGCAGTTTCTCACCGCTGGGCGTCTACAGTGGACGAACCTCAAATTATTCTCGTGAATGGGGCGCCATCTCTAGTTTCTACAAGTATTTATGATCTCCTCGTAGAGTTGCGGAGAATGCGCCTTTCCCAGCTTCTATGGATTGACTCCATATGCATTGACCAGGCCGACGCGCAAGAAAAGAGTCGGCAAGTCGGGCTGATGCGAGAAATCTTCGAGGAGGCCACATCAACTATTGGCTGGCTGGGCAAAAGTCCAGTAGCAGCGAAAGCATTCGAGCTTGTCCGACGAATTGTGACTACAGACAAGATCGACCATGATGAACTTCTCAGTCTGAAGTCATCCCCTTCTTCCGGATGGCAAGAGCTACTTTCTCTCTTAACGAATAGCTGGTTTGAAAGAGTCTGGATCATTCAAGAAATTGCCGCCTCTAAAGAAACCGTACTTCGGAGTGGAAATGCAATCATACATTGGGAAGTGTTCGCAGAAGGTTTGGGTCGGCTCTTGACACCGGGAACGGGAAACGATGAGCACTTGTCCGTCTTGACCAACGAACACCTTATGAATGCGCTAATCATGGAGAACATGCGTTTCCAAGTTGACGAAATTGACCGTCTTGCTCTGAAAGATGCTTTGAAGCTCGGGTCTAGGTTCAAAGCAGCTCTTTCGGTCGACAATGTGTTTGCCTTGCTAGGAATCATAAGAGAACGCAACGCGCCGTTGTTTCATCCAAATTTTCGTCATAGCGAAGTCTTTTCAGATGAGATCTTTTCTCGGGGAGGGGCCGCCAAAGATATGATCGACACTATGGATTCAATTGTTGAGTTTGCTGACGGGCTGAGAAAAACCAATCACCTTCAGAGCCGAAAGACTATCAGATTATTAAGGTCTATACCCAAGGCGACACGATCATTCAGCGAAATGGTGGATGGTATGCACAGCATTCTAGATCGAACGAAAAAGTCCAAAGACAGTCCACAGCATATCAGGCCGGACTATACTGACAAGAGTACGCCCGAGGTTGTATACACCATGGTTGCCCGAGAACTTGTTAGAACCGGAGATGCCTTTGCCTTTTTGCGATATGCAGGAATCGGCAACTCTAGGAGTCATTCATTTGAGAACCTGCCATCATGGGTTCCAGATTGGTCAGCCGATGTCAACGTCTACATTCTGCCCCATGATGTCAAACCGCCGACGAAACGACAAAAGTCGACTTCGACCGATGAAGTCAAAGATGACAACAAACATCACTCTATAGTCTCTGATGGCGGATTCAACTTACTTCACGTCAAGGGAACAGTGGTCGGCAAGGTCGCGGTTGCAACTAAGATGCACGGCAATCTTGGGAAGTCTAGAGGAAACACCCTCAAGGATGCGGAAACAGATTTAGAGCTCACAGTTTCAAGCTTTGAATCGGCATTCAATGCTGCGAGGAGATTCAATCTCTCGCCGGATCCGTCGGACGACAGTCTCAAAGACCTCCTTTTGAATGTTGTTCAAGCAAAATCAAATGACGAAGTCCGAGACAATGCTTTCAAGCAGAGTGCAAAATTGCTAGCAGACGACATGGAAAACGGCCAAAAGCTTCTCCAAAAGCTTCGAGACAGCAACTTGGCCAACGGCTCGAGTCCGCAGATACTTCACACTAGCGAGCCGTCATCGAAAGCCTTGGAGGCAATGGCAAGGGATCACCTTATAAAAAGAAAGGCCCAGTCCTCCTCCAATAGCAAGTTTGCACATCTCATGAAGACGGATGTCTTGCCCAGTTTCGAGCACTACCGATGGCAAGATAAAAACCTTACATTGCCGCCAGAAGGTCCCTTGCGAATGTTTGACAAGCGCGTCACGAGTGTTCTGGCGGCATACGATCAATACGTGGACTACACCCTAGGAAGGAAGTTTGTCGTGCTCGAAACGGGGCATATGGGCTTAGCACCAGCAGGGGTTGAAGTCGACGATTTAATCATCTGGGTGGAAGAACACGCAGTCTTTTTGGCTCTACGGCCGGCTCCCATTTCAACGCGCGTAAGAGAGGAGTTGAATCTTGAAGAGTTACGGAAGAAAGAGTTGGCGAGGGAAAGGGCTGAAAAAGAAAATGCTAGAAAAGAAAGTATTGAAAAGGATGGCGTCGAACAAAAAGACGAACCCATAGCAGGACAGGCACACAGTGATGGGGACGAAGGTAAAAAGGTGCCCAGCGAGGCTAATGACAGCAACTTGTTCGATCTAGACAACACCTTTCGATTAGTTGGAGAGGCTTTCGTCAGCAACGCACAGAATCACCCAGACAGGGAAGCTACGGCAGTGGATGGCGATCTGAAATGGTTCAGCTTGTGGTAGCATCAGACTTTGCAATCGTAATACACTTCTAGAGAATCTTGATGACTGTCCTCTTTCGCTATAAACATTACTTCTTGATCTCGTTTACCCTGCTAACATTTGACTATCTCTACAATTACTAACCTTCTCTCCCTAGACAGCTTCTGTGTGTTCGCTCGATTTTGCCTTGTTGTCATCGAATGTGGCGTCGACGAACTTGGTGGAAGGCTCAGGGCGAGCATCATGAGCATAGCCACTGTTAACAAGAAAAGTCAGCATTGTTTCACTGAAATGTTGAGTCCATACGAGAGCAACGTACAAGATGACATCCATTTGGTCCATCGTAAGACCCTTGGTCTCTGGCAAGAAGAAGTAGCCCCACAAGGTGGCGACAATCATCCATGAAGCGAAGAAAAACCAAGTTCCGTAGCCGAAAGAGCTGAAGATGTAAGGCATGGCCTTGGTGATGGCGAATTGGGTAGCCCTGAACATGTGTTAGATACGTAGTGAATAGTCAGAGGGGCATAGTTGTCGACTTACCAGACAACGAGAGCGGCGTAGGTGCCGGTGAAGTTGCGGAGGGCACCGGGGAAAATTTCGGCGCTGACGATCCAAGGAATACCGTTCAAGCCGAAAGACCAGCTATTTTTATTGTAAGCGATGTTTCTTTTCAGACATTTTGTGGCAAGTGACCCATGAACTTACCAGATAGAGTAGATCATGATCATGCCAGTAGCTGCCTTACCACCGGCAGCGGTAGAGGCAGATAGTTCCTTTCCGGCGGCGATGATGTCGGCAGGGTGACCAATCTTCACGTATGCACCGACAATGAAGAGGCACATCGAGCAGATGAATGAAGAGACGATGGCGGGCCAACGTCTTCCGAGGAGGTCGATAAGGAAGATGAAGTAAATGATAGATGCAATGGCTATAGTTCGAGTTAGCGAAGAGTCCCCAGCCATCACGTTAAACACGGCTTACCCTTTATCAGTCCGTAGATACCGGTGTAGAGAGAAACATCAGTTATGCCGATCGATGCGAAAAGCGTAGGCTAACGGCAGGGTTAGCAAGTTATGTCTTCACAGCCTACTCGTCGAAGGATGTGATCGTTACCGAGTAGTAGTTGATGGCAGCAGCTCCGGAAAGGTTGTTAAGAGCGAAGGCGCAGAAGACGAGGACGAGGCGGTTCCACATGCCCTTCCGGGCTAACATGTTGGCGACCCCGCGGAGGTATGCCCATTGTCCGGTGCCGTATTGCGATGAAACAGCTCTTTCTTCGTCGAGCTTCTTCTGAAATTGGTCGAGCTCCTCTTGCATGTCTGTTTGGAAACTTCTGTCAGTCCTCGTCATCTATTGCAAGGTTCAGGGCATTGACGCTTACACTTGTGGTCGATCGGCAGTCCTCTGAGACCTTCGAGAACCTTGTGGGCGCGTTCCGTCTTGTTCTTACGCAGAAGCCATAGCGGACTCTCGTGTATGAAGAAGACTCCGACGAAGAGGATGCCGGCGGGGACGAGTTGGAATGCCATCGGGATTCTCCAGCTGACAGGCAGGCTCGGGTCGATGGTTTGCGTAATGCCGTACTAGCCAAACAATTAGGACTTGTGCTTAGAGATCTTCAAGTGTGACAGCCAAGAGAATTTCAACTTACGTTGATCCAGAAACCAATGACACTGCCAATCTGGTATGCGACTTCGAAGAGACCGGTGAGGATACCGCGGATGGAGGGGATCGACAATTCTCCGATGTAGGACGGGACTGTAGCCGTGATACCACCACATCCGATGCCAGTAAGGGCGCGACCCGCGTCTGCGTAACAAGTCTTAGCTGGAGTCTTCTTCAGGATCGAATACGCAGGGAGTTGACTTACAGATGAATGACAACTGGTTCGTAGCGGCAGTCATCAGAATCGCACCAACGAGAAAGATGACAACATTAGCCTGGAGAGTCCACTTTCTGCCCAAGCGTTCGGTAACTAGACTCAAGTCAGTGTGCTGCAGATAACTCCTCTTTCGGATGTCGTACTGAAGAAGCAAAGAACTGCGCCGCCCAACGCTCCAGCCTGGAATGCTGATGTGATGTTACTCGAGATGTTATTCGAGTTTCCAGAGTTGATCGCAAAGTCTCTCTTGAAACTGCTGCGGGCAATCGTGGTTCCGATGAACGCCGAGTCGTAGCCAAACCTGCCAAAGATTAGTTATTGGTCGTAGCCATAGCTATCGACAGATAGAGACCTACAGGAAAGATCCCATGGCGATGATTGCCGCCTCGATGTAGAGTTTCCAGTTGTACACCTCCTTCGGCGTAGGCCGATCCTCCACAGCCTTGAAGCCACCCATGATTGCGACGAAACGTTGGTGCTGATGGGGATTATTCGATAGAGTTCGAGCGGCGGAGCAGTCTGCGATGATCTCTTTATCTGATCGAGGACAAACGCGCGCACACTGAAGTCACATTGAACAAACTTCCGGCTGTCAAAGAGTATTTATCCTGCCCTCTTTTACCACCACGTCGGATGGCGCATCCCCACGGGGTACCCGGTGGAGAAAACATGGAGGATTTAGGAGTTGCTCATTCGCGGCGCCGTCTCTGCCCGGGCTTTGGTGGGTGTGTGGGAAGATGGGGGAATGCTTGCTAGTTTGACTCGCGCTGGTGCGCCCTGCGCCAGAAGAATTCATGGGTGCGCTCCTCGGAAGTCGTCCGTGGAACGATGTCATGAACGGATTTCTTATCCGATCAAGTGGAACCTAATTCTTTACGCTAATAGCTCACAAGAAAAGTCTTTGTTCCAAGTAGCAACTGTTAGCGCCAGTCGCTGCCTTCTGCCCTGTTCTTTCATCTGACGGTACTGTTGCTAGAGTACTCCAGGGAAGCTGTCAGGTGGTCTTGCCGACATTCGATCAGGAACTGATTTATGCTAGCCCCACCACTTTGGGCTGACGATAGTTCCGTGTTTGCACGCCATGGCTTCCGACATGCGAGCCGAGAAGCGACCCGACGCGAACTACCGGTTTTGACTCCACTACGCACGTGGGAATGCGATGATGATTGATGAATGAACCGAGTTGTCGGGACTAAAGAGCTAAGGGTGATCTCGCAAGTTGTCGAAAGCAAGAGGAGGACCGAGGTCAACGAAGAGGCTTCAGCTTACCTAAGAAACGTGGATCGAAGACTTGGTTCTTCGTCTCTGCGAAAAGGTGTCCGTCGTAAGGCATGTTCCATTGGGAAATCCTGATGAAGTACTTCCGCTCAACACAACTCAATTTCGAGAGATCACGTGACAATAGCTCTTTAAGAAGTTACTGTACCAATGCGGGGACTGCAATCAGCTACGGATAGCTGGCTGAACCAACATCGCATCGAGCTTTATTTAGAGTTCCGGGTGTCCACGTTGCGGTGTTGCACCTGTGCACTATGTAAAGGTCCGAAGTTACTCTTCATACCCTACGCTGCGACCATACCAGGCCAAAATTGGAGGCCCACCTCAAGCACATCACCACGGGACACGTCAAAGTGTTGCGGGGGTTCCCTGAATATCTGGGGAAGAAGGGCCGGTTGCAGGCAGCACAGTAGAATCCCCATTCTCAGGCTCCGGATTCCTCTGCCAGCTAAGTGCTTGGGGTAGTTCAGTGAAATCGACGGCGCACTAGGGACTAAGACGGTCACGAAACTAACAATACATCACATCTTTTACACTTCGAAAAACCTAGAACCAATTCTCAGTGTTGAACCGTCTTTGTTGGAGACCAGGCTGATGATGCCGGCTTCTACATATTATATATACAACTTGAATGTTGAAGAATTTGTACACTATTACGGGGCAGGTACGTCTTTGGGTGCTAATTAAGTATGGGCAACCATCAAAGCGTATGCCATTAATTCCAGATCCAGCTGACAAACCGTATAGGGCCAGTCTCTTGCTTCTCGGGCTCTTCTGGATAAGCATCGGCCTGCTCGAAAGCATCGTGAAGTGGGATGTTTTCAAGAACGACGCCCTTGGTCTTCTTGACGAACTTCCAGATCAAGAACGCGCCAGTGACCAGAGGAATATCCCTGCAAGGTGGTTAGCAAACTCGCTCATGGTATGCTCGTTAAGCAAGGGGAGTGGACTCACAAGTAAGACGAGACGAAGCCGCTAGCGCTCCAGTTGCCCTTGGTGAAAACTTCAAAGCCGCTCGTGAAGAGAATGACGATGCACATGAACAGGGCGACGTAAGAGCTGTAGACTAAATTCCCACTTTTGTTAGCAGGTCTTATCAGGTAATCCGAGACTATTCAACTTACGGGTCCACGAGTTGTTCCAAGGTAACCTGCTGAACTCAATGCCCTGCTTCTTCATCGCTGTCTTGAGACGGATATGGTTCAGGAGAATAGCCGACCACGACACCAAAACACCGGCCGCAGTTAGGTCTACCAGCCACCAGAAGACAGTCAATGCACCATTCGACAAGCTCATGAAGCTAAGGAACATGAAAGCGGTGAACAGCAAGACGCAAACGTAGGGAGTACCCCAGGCAGTCGTGCGGAGGAAGATCTTCGGGGCCTGTCCCTTGAGCGCGAGACCAAAAAGGACACGGGTGCCAGCAAGGAGACTCTGGTTTGACGCAGACCAGGCAGAGGTGATGACGACGGCGTTGACGACGCTAGGGATGGCAGGGATACCAGCAGCGGAGGCAGCGATGACAAAGGGACTCTGAGCAGCGGTGCCGTAGGCGTCGTCGAGGCGAGAGTCGTCGCTGGCGACGAGCATACCGACGACCAAGACAGCAAGCATGTAAAAGAGGACGATACGCGCAAAGACACGCTTGCAGGCGCGAGGGATGGCACGACGAGGGTTCTGGGTCTCAGCGGCGGCCATGGCGAGAGACTCGACGCCGGCGAAGGAGAAGACGGCGCTGGTCATGACACCCCAGTAGCCCAGGAACTTGCCCCAGTCGCCGGTCGCGATGTGCTCCACGAAGGGGCCGGGGCTTTGCCAGTACCTGAACCCGATGCGGGGGGTGCCCGGAACGCCGCCGAGGTCGATGACGAGACCGAGGATGATGAGGAAGATGACGAGGAGGATCTTGAGCATGGCGAAAACGAACTCGACCTCTCCGAAGACGCGCACAAAGGCGATCCCGACAACAAAGGTCAAGATGATGAAGATAACGATGAAGACGGAGGGGTTCAGGTCGGTCCAGAACTGGAATAGTACGCAAATGGCCGTGATCTCTGAGGGGATAGACAAAATATTGCCGTAGACCAAGTTCCATCCGATGGCGAATCCCCAGGCCGGGTCAACGAGAAACTCGGCATGACGGACAAATGAACCGGTGACGGGGAGGAGCGCCGAAACCTCTCCGAGAGCGAACTGCACGGCGCAGACGATGAGGCCGATAGTCGCATAGCCAAGCAATGCGCCAAGCGGACCGCCGGTCTGGATAGCGCCGCCGAGACCCAGGAAGAGACCGGTGCCGATGGCGCCCGCGATACCCAACATTGACAGGTGGCGCTGCTCCAAGCCGCGCTTCAGGTCGCGGTCCTCGGTGGTGGTGACAAAATCGCCGTTGTGGTCGTCGTGAGGCTCAAACGGGCCGCGCCGAGAGGCCTCGGCGGCCTCGACGTCGTCAGACGTGATCCAGGCATGGCGGGTGACATCGGTGATGCCAGGCGACTTGGCGCCGGGGAACGGGATGGTGTCGGTACTCATCGCTTTTGTCATATTTCCCCTTTGTCCTCAACTCGTGTCCTTTGTGCTTCCTTCACCGAGCGTCGGGGTATCTGGACGGTGGGAAGAAAGGTGAGGGAAATAAAGCTGACCGCGAGCGATAAGAAAGAACCGCGATTGATAAAAGGCCCCGTTTGCCCTCCTCTTTTTCCTTCCTCGCGAGACTCGGTGAGATTACCTTAGGTAATCGTCTGAACCTATAAGGTAACACACACGAGATGTAAGGTTTCGATGCTGAGGGATCAAACAACGCGATTGATATCCATATATTCACCTCATTAGAATGCTGAACAACCGTTGAATGCAGCGCTGGAGCCTAGATCAAGCTGAAAGGGCCATGGCTCGCTCAGAAGATCGCGAAAGGGGGTTCGGATGGATAATCAGCGGACGGGGGGGAAGGGAATCGAAGAGATTTTGTCGTCTTATCGCGAACTCGATTCGGGAAGGTGAGATTTCTCATTCGATGATGCCATTGCGCTAAGCGGGTCCTGATCCACATGCACTGCGAGCCCGGTTACGTTACTGGCGGCGTACGCGTTTCTCGCAGACCGAGGCTCTCGAAAGGGAACTCGGCCGTTCTGTCTTTCGACGACTGACTCGCGTCTTCATCCTCACAGGCAAGTCATGGTGATTAATGATTGCCTCGCCTTGTGAACAGTGATTTCCCGCCTAGAAAAGTGTATTGCGGCATCACGGTTGCTATGGCGCTATGTACGATAACGCAGACGATGCACATGGTGTGAGTACCTAGCTTGGGCTATACTATTTAACCTAGGCCTACGGATACCCACCAATCCTCAAAATGTCTCACAATTCATCCTGAGCCTTAAGTTCAGGCAAAGCTCGCGGATTGGCTTTCAAAGGGTACACTTAACACAAGAATATCAAGTCCATACAATAGAGACTCTTCGCAAGTCGACTGCCGCAACCCAACTTGTGCCAAGCTATCATGTTGGCCAGGCTGCATCAGCTGCAGCCTATGCCGCGCTATATTATATGTAGGTTCTAGACCCTGAGCTGACAGCAGCATAGCAGTCAGCCTCTTCCCCGCACACATGATCATATCTAGATACTTCTTCTCTAGTTTGCTCATGAGCATTCTTCCGCAGCTAAGTGAGCCCGTTCGTGCCTACTAGGGCTTGTCAGGCATCTTCACATCGCACATCACAACGTTCAATACATCGTCAAACAGGAAGTCAGCAGCCATCATCAGACGGTCAGATTACATGCATGTAGTCTTGGCCCACTCCTTAAATCAACATGTCTGATCCATCAATATACACGATTGGCTGGATCTGCGCCATAGTTCCCGATTTTGTCGCAGCCCAGCTCTTCCTCGACGAGGTCCACGAAGAGCCTCGATCGCTGTCCAGAAACGACAACAACTCGTATAAGCTCGGGCGTATGGGCAAGCACAACGTCGCGATCGCGGTTCTTCCTCATGGCGAATATGGAGAAAGCTCGGCGGCAGTGGTCGCTCGAGACATGATCCATACATTTGTAAACATAAGGGTAGGGCTTATGGTCGGCATCGGCGGCGGAGCTCCTAGTCCCAGAAACGACGTTCGTCTAGGCGACATCATTGTCAGCTCCCCGGCTGAGGGTTATGGCGGCGTGCTTCAGTACGACTTTGGCAAATCCATCGAGGGTGGAAAATTCGAGATGACTAGGTTCTTGAATCAACCGCCGCTTGCTCTCAGAACAGCCCTTAACGGGCTAATTTCTGACCTCGAAAAAGAAGGCAACTGGTTCGAAGACCACATCCTAACACGTCTCAAGAACGACATCTTGAAAAAGAAATATGGTCGGCCCAGTCCCGAATCCGACAAACTTTTCCGCAGCAATATCGTTTATGACGCAAGCAAGACAATCGCTGATTATTGTGCCGACGACTTCGTGGATCGCCCAGAGAGAGACCCAAATTTAGGTCCCGTCGTCCATTACGGACTAATAGCCTCAGCAAACCAGGTCATGAAAGATGCTCAGAAGCGGGATGCACTAGCAAAGGAAAAGAACGTGCTATGCTTTGAGATGGAAGCTGCTGGTTTGATGAATCATTTCCCCTGTCTAATTATAAGGGGAATATGTAACTACTCCGACTCTCATAAAAACAAGCAATGGCAGGGCTATGCTGCCATGGCAGCCGCTTCTTTCGCCAAGTCATTGGTCTGTTGTATTCAGCGTCAAAGCCTTGAGTATGAGCAGTCTATGGCAAAAGTACTGTCTTCCTGTAAGTAGCTCCCAGATAATCAAATCGCAAGTTGTTACGTGTAATTACCGAATTCTGATCAATGTACTTCAGTCAATTCAGTTAAGGAAGATGTCATCGCTATCAAAGATACTATCGATCATGACATGCTGGACAAATTGCCAATGGCTCAGGATGCCGAATTCGACAGCTATCAAAATCAACATGAGCCGAGATGCCATCCAAGCACCAGAGTTGATATTATTCGCGACGTTAAAACCTGGGCTCTTCATGCTACTGACCAGAGACTTTATTGGCTCAGTGGATTGGCTGGAACGGGAAAGTCGATCATAGCCCGGACAATTGCCCATCACCTTTACGAGACCAAGTTACTTGGCGCCACATTCTTTTTTAGAAGGGGAGAAGTTGATCGTGGCAGTGCGTCGTTGCTTTTCGGTACACTAGCCCGTCAGCTAGCGCAGCGCCGGCCCGAGTTGAGCCCCTACATAGTAGAGGCGATCAAGCAAACGGATAACATCTCTTCCAAGAGTATGGAAGAGCAATTCACTAAGCTCATCTTCAACCCACTCAAACAGGCAGCGTCAAAATCGGGGGAGGCTAGAAACTTGATTCTGGTACTCGATGCCTTGGATGAGTGCTCGAATGAGAAGGACATTGATGTTCTCCTGCGTTTACTGATCAAGGCTGCATGTTCCGGCGGCTGCCGTTTGAAGCTGCTTATTACAAGCAGACCAGAGGTGGCAGTGCGAGATGCATTTGGTTCTTCCAACAATGGATTGTACTGGGAAGTTCGACTACATGACACACCAAATGAAATTGTCTCTAAAGACATCTCCCTGTACCTTCGACACCAGTTGACAGAGATCAGAAACTGATGGAACACGAGATGCATCAACAGTCAGAAACTACAGATAAACTGGCCTGGACAGGAGCAGATCAATGCCCTTGTCGACATCGCAATACCCCTGTTTCTATTTGCAGCAATAGCATGCCGCTTCACCCGAGACGAACTGTTTGGCAGTCCAGAGGAAAAGCTCTTGAAGCTTATTCAGAGCGTTGAGAAAGGAGGCGTCAGCGATAAACTTCAAGAGACATATCAGCCAGTACTGAGACAGTCCCGAGGCGAAAGAACCCCATCAGAACAAATCATTCTGCTTGGAAGATTCAAAGAGGTCATTGGCGCAATTATACTACTCGAGCAGCCTTTGCCGATTAACTCAATTGCCACCTTGCTCATTCTCAAGCCTTCACAAATTAGTGGTATCTTGGTTCCTCTTAGGTCAGTTCTTGATCTTCCGAGGGAGGAAGACCTGAAGGTCAAACTTTTTCATTCGTCATTCCGCGACTTTTTACTGAGTCCACTTGCCGGGGACTTCTCCATTAACTTCAAGAATACACATTGGAGAATGACGCTTGCCTGCCTTGAACTTCTCTCGAAGTCTCTGCGTTACAACATTTGCAGCCTCAAGCCTGCCGATCGAAGGTCGACGATTGCGAGAGAAGTCTTAGAGCAACAGCTCCCGCCGCATACACGATATGCTTGCCGCTTCTGGTTTCATCACCTGAGACAAGCAGGTCAGCCTCTCAACTTCTCAAGGATGAAGATCAAGTCCACAAATTCCTCCAAGTCGATTCCTCTATTGGATCGAAGCGCTTTGTGTCCTCGGAGAAACAAATCGTGCTATCCAGATGATAGACACCCTAGTTCCCCTCGTTGAGGTTAGCCTGAGAATTTTTTGTGTCATAAGATGAATGCTGGGTGACAGTATATGCGCAGCAACAAGTCGCAAAGAATCAATTAATATTTTTATGTTGACTGCTTTGCTAACAATTATAGCAGCAACAAAAAAGCAGGCTTTACAATCTATTGGAATACTCAGAGATGCTATTTCCAAATACATTTCCGTCGTCCTCGAGTATCCTCTGCAACTGTATTGGTCAGCGTTGGTCTTTTCTCCCACGACGAGCTCTGTCCGACACGCTTCCATAAGATGTATCCCAAGCTGTATCACTTTCCAACAACCACACACAAGTCCGAATGGACGCCTCTTATCCAGAATATAGGTCTTGGGTATACGCATGATGATTATGATTCCGTTGCGGTTTCTCCTGACTCCAGACTTGTTACGTTGAGTGAGCGCAACGGAGACATCGCGGTTTGGTCGCTGGCTTTGGGTGTCTTCATGACCAAAATCCGCACGCCCTCCTCTCACTCTGTTGGCCCATACGTCCCAGTCACCTTTTCAAGGACTCGAAGCGGATCGCATCGGCATTACAAGGCTTCATTTACGTCTACATCGCTGAGACGGGCGAGGAATTATGTTCATTCCCTACCCCCAATCGGTGCGACGTAGTTCAAATTGACGTTTCCCACAACTCAGAGAAGATTGCGGCTTCGTATTACAATCTTACCGCTGCAATATGGACAGTCTCCACGGGGCAAAGTCTCAAGCTCTTGCCTGTGAACAAAACCCCGTGTGGTGATAGCTCACACTCTGTATCACGAGGGGGCTCATTTGTCAGTTTCTCTCCGAAGTCTGGGATTGTAGCGACCTCATGTGTACGTGGAGGTGTCCATCTTTGGGAAGTGTCGACGGGTAACTGCCTTCGCACGTTCGTAACAAAAGGGCCCGTGGTGAGCCAGCTCGCCTTTGTATCAGATACCAATTTTTTGATCGTTAAGGAAGCTGGCGGACAAATCCGAACCTTGGACATCGACACCGGTCATTGAGAATCTCGAGTCCCAGCGGGACAAGTCACAAGTGGACCTGTGGCTCTCTCACACGACTCGAAGCTCATCGCTCACCAAAGTCTCCCCAATAGTGACACTATTTCCATTTCGTCGTGCGATACCGGCGAACACTTCAAATCCCTAGATCTCACCAGTATTCTCGCCGTCAACCCACTCAGCGTTCTCTCACTTCGGCCTAAGTATTGGGTAGCGGCATTCTCACCTGATGGCAAGTTTCTCATTGTTTCTCACAGCAACGGAGTTGCCATTTGGTCCTTATCCATGATTCGGAAGCCCAGAACATTGGAAATCGGTTACCTACACATTCGAGGTCCCATGCCTAGATGTACCAGAAGAGGACGGCGAGTCTAGGTCAGATGAGGCGTCCCACATCATCAGGTATTTGAGCATTGATACAGGCAAACACGTCGATATGCCCGAGGAAGCGGACAACTTCAGCTTTCTCGCAATATCACCAGACTCGAAATGGGTAGCCTCGGTGCCAGACCGTGGCCAAGAGCTCACACTATGGCTAGCAAGCAAATGCCGCCGCCAAGCCCTCTGCGATCCCGGCTCTCGCATTACCACAATCTCATTCTCATTCAACTCGGAACCGTTGGCATCAGCGGACAAGGCTCGAAAAATACGGATTTGGTCGACAGTTTCGGGGTACTGCACAAACGTCTTAAATGTAGGACGCAGTCTCATCAGCCTATCTTTCTCGCCCGACGATTCTCAATTGCGGACTTCTTTTGGGGACATTGCCATCGAAAGGTCTATTCGCCCATCCCAAGCAGTCGATTCTACGACGGATGATGCCGAACTTGGAAATACGTCTGCCATGCTTCAGAGGCCATGTTGGCAGGGCTATGGAATTGATGTAAGCGGCAAGTGGATCACCTGGGACGGTGTCAACCTTATACTTTTGCCGGCGGACATCAACCCTTCTTCGAATTTGAATTCCCCTCGCTGGAACGATGACGATAGGCGATGCCAAGTAGCTGCTGGCGATTCCGTTGTTGCTTGGGCAGGTCCCTCTGGCGAGCTCTATACTATGGGGTTCTCGAGAGATATCAAGCCCTTTGACTAAGACTTCAAAATTGTTGAAAATGCCTTTCATGTGACTAGCCTGGTCACATTTTATTCCTCCATACTGCTTGCCTCCTTTCCCTTCACCCGTGCTTTCTGTCCATATTTAGATCATCTATAGTCTCGAAGAGGTTGTTTTTGTCCTTACATTCTTGTCTCTGAGACTGGCTATTTGGAGAATATGACAAGCCTGTAGCCCGCATGAATCATCAAACCTCATCAGACAGCTACTCGACCCTTTCCCCTGATTACCTGCTAGACTGTGTTGTTCGTACGCTTAGAAGATACCCCTGTGGAATGGTATCTGCAATGACGACCAGACCAGGCTTAATAACCCGCTCTCCGGAATGCCTCATCCAGCTTCAACTCAAGAATCTGCCGCTGAGCCTGAATACTCGCGGTAAGCCGCGCATTTTCCTCCTCCCCAGCCCTCTTCTTCTCATCGGCGTCCCCCTCATCGAGGTTCTCCACCTCATCAGCCATCATATCATCAGCCTCCGAGGCCGACGTCAAAGCCATGGGGGCCATCCGCATACTCGCCATTCTCGTGGACGTGACTGCACCCGGCAAGAAGCCCGGAGCAACGTACTTCTTCGATTTGCCAGCCGAGGCGATCAATGTCGATAGAATCGCAGCGCTCATGTCCAGAACATTGTCCGCCTTGAATGTGTCAGGGTCGTTGAGGAGTTGTAGCCCAATACCAAAGGCCACAGACAAAAGGGGTCCCGCTCCGGGAATGAACCCAAGACCGAGCTGGACCACATGCGTCACCAGGTCCAGGATGAAAGAAGAGTACTTGTACGGACGCCAGCCGACTTCAACACCAAAAGTCGCGCTGATGACGCTGGCGAGATCGATCTCGCGACGGAAACCCTCCTCGGCCCGATTATCGTTGGATCTCCAGTTCAAACCCGCGTACGCAACGAGGAACAGCGCGTCGGTCTTGGTCTTGGCGTTGTATACCCCGTACTCGGGATTGCGGACCTTGTGAGGGATGGTCAGGTAAGTCACCAGGTCTGGGACCTTGAAGAGCCACGTCAGGCCCCGATCGAGGCCGAGACCTGCCTCACGAGTGGACGGGTAGGTTCGTGGCTCTCCTACGGTGTTGAAACAGTTGATCGTGTCACGGGCCTTGAAGTCGATGACAACGTATGTGCAGTACTGCTTGTAGGCTTCGTCGGTTTGTTGGCAGACGGGGAAATAGATTGCCCGGATCGGAATTGTAGCACTAGGGGGTATGACAGTCAGCTTTTGGATCATCTGGTGCAAGACCGGGTTATCTGACAATACTTACTCGATCCATAGCCACTGTGTATCTTTGTTGCGAATCTTCACGGGTCGCAGGATGAACTTTCTTGGTCCGCCCTTGTCGCGGTCGCGCATCTCGTTCCAGTTTAGACTGTTTTGGTAGCTGGTGATCGCGAGCATGCTCCCGGGATCCGTGGTCTTGCTCTCGCCGACAAAGAACCTGTCCCATTGTACGAAGCGAGTGCCGTAGAGATCCGGATAACCACCCTGGATCTTCGACCGCGGGTGCGTTGGTGCGACGTCACCGGCCCCGACCCAGCCGTTCCACTGAATGGAGATTATGAGCTACTAGATACCAAAAGCTGGGGGGATGAAGAGTAAGGGCCATACCTGGTATTCTATGAGGACGTGGCTGTAGAACTGCTCCGCGTCGTCTGCAGACCAGCTGCTCCCGTACTTGAGGGACGACCGGACGAAGAAGCATTCGCCCTCGGGGAAGTAGGATGCCATTGTGTTGGGTGGTTGAGTTGAGAATCAATAGTGAAGGGATGTAAAGATACTGATAGTGCAGGAGTATCAGAGGAACGAAGATTCTGGTCCTCGTGCGAGCAGCTTGAGTCAGAGACAAAAAAGAAGGAAGTCGGAGAGCGAGAGAACGAGAGCTTTTATGCCATTCTAAGCCTTCAGCTTCGCTCTAGACTCTGGCAAAATCTCAAGATGCTCATTCAACATTCAGGCAAGTAGTACTTCGCCGTGTACATCCCCACGCACAGCTTTCTGATGCACCTTGATGCCACAGTGATGCCATAACGGATAATGTGAGCAGATATCGATGACCGATAGTAGAAATTCGGTGTAAATTTCAACCGCCCAAAGATCCAGATCGTGAGACTTGCAGTCGATGGACCAGCCCAAGCCTCGTTGCGATGGGCAAGAAGAGTGACGATCATGGTGGGCCGCGTCGATCACAACGGGACGAGCCGCCCGAAAAGCGTCACAGCGAGGCGGGGTTCGCATAGTAACGGCTCCCGTTGGACGCGGCATGGGTCTGTCGAGCTGAATGACAAGACGAACGGTACAAGTGTGCATCTCGGTTGGGTTATTGTGTTGCTGGGATCCACGGCCCGGTACAGCTACCCCGACTTCGTTCCCCCTTCGTTGTAAAAGACGCAGCTCATCCTTCATCAGACCGGTCCGACGAGTGCCTTAAGTGTCGTTGGCCATGCCCGAATGCAGCGATACACATCATGCCGGCCTCCGGCCCGTCATGCGGCCGCCGCTTAAGAATACGAGAAGCCAAGATTGGCCCTGTGGTTTGCCCCTCCAAGGACGATGAACGGTGGCTTACCCCTCCATGGGGCATGGGCAGGCAGTATTGGCGATGCAACACATGAGGCGGAAGAGAAGATATCTTCCCTCTAACCTACGCCCAGAAGAAAAGTCTCTCATAGAAATAATGTACATTCTCATTTGAAGCATGCGTAACGGCAAATGGGCCAGTGAGGTGGTTGTAGACGGCTCGAATCACCAAATGCATAGGGTCAGTAGCGTTATGCCAGTCCATCTTCATGCTTCAACTAGCTATGAGACTCGTCGAAAAGCCGTATTATCGAAAACGCACGACAATGGAGTAATGTCTTGTTTCAACACCCCAACCAGCTCGCGATGCATGCAAGTTTGGAAATTCTGCGAACGGCCCCCTCTCGGAACGAGTACAAGCGTGCCCTAACATGGAAGTTCAGCGCGACTGACATCACACAGGGGCGGGCGGAGCCGACATCAGACGGCCAAGTTCAGTCGTGCATATGCCAAAGTTTGGCAAAGAGACTTCGGATGATTCGCAGATCACAAGCAATGACAAGCCTCTCAGCCGAGAATTAGGCAAAAGCTACGAACTTCGCATCGGTAGCTCCCGTGCAGCGAGCCCTCCCCTTTGCCCGCAAACCACAAGCTTGGCGAGTCTGGTATTGCTTGCTGAGACCGACGTCATGCAGTGCGAAACTCTAGAATGGGTACGTGCCTGATGGGTGCCCATGATCATGAGCTTCCTATTCAACGCAGGATGGCCAGAGAGGGTGGTTTAACATGTTTGTATTATGCTGGGCTAGCCAGCATCACAGATGCCTGGTGACCATCTCTCGAAAGACAAGAATCCTCCCATGGGCTGGCGGGCTCGAGCCTCACCAAGCCCAGTATGCAAGTTACCTCCCCACAACCGACTGTATCCCCCAAGGTTGTCAAGCAGAAGAGTTAAACCTTTACCATTTGTGCCGAGGCTGTGCTCTCTGCTCTACCAATCCTACCAGTCATTTGTCGCGTTCCCCAAAGTCCAGGCTGCGGGTCCGAGTGACGTAGAATATCGGAAACCATGACTTCGTGACGTATCCGACCCTTTCAGCGAGGAAAATGAATAGTTTCGAAGACGCAATGCCATGCTCGCAAATGTGATTGACGAAAATCAGGTCCTCGAGGGGGGTGGGCTTATGTACAATCCCCTCGCCCAACGAGCAGAAGAAAGTTTCCAATCCGACAAATCCCGAAACCCATAATAATTGTTGACGAATTCTTCCATTCGTGTAAAAGTGCAGCTAAAGTGCGGTATCTGAATCTCAAGAGGTCCCTATCACGGGACGACTTGAGTAACTACCGGCGCTCCGGCTCGAAAGGGTTCTCGGCTCGCTGGTGAGGCTGACGCTCGGCTTCGAAGGGGTTGTCGTTACCAGGTTGGTTATTTTGGCCATGCGGCTGCCAGGCGCGCGGGGGCTTGCCCATGGTTGGGTGGTCGTAGACGTCGCCGTCAATCTCGAGGTCAATTTCGTCCTCCTTGCGCTCCTGCTTTTGTCTTCTCATGTGCAACACAGTCAAGACACCAAGGGTACCGCAGATGAGCACAGCACTAAGGAATATCATGTTAGTCTTGGCTGAACGATGATTGCTGAGGTAGGCCCTGGAGTAGCTTGGCGACATGCGAACGCAAGCAGAACTCAAATGGCAGAGTACGGAATGGTTCGGGTAGACCTACGCAGTAATGCCGATGGTGATGCCGATAATCTTGGAGGACTGGAAGGGCTTTTCGCAGCGGGAGCTGTTGTCGCCATCCGCGCAATCATCGCGCGCAGCGAGGTAGTGCACAGCGCGAGCGACGGGTGCCAGAAGGCTTGCGGCAGTTGTTGAGGGACTCATGATGCGACTGAGGAGGGATCGGATTATTGTGGATATGATGTAACGGTTCGATTGTGGATTGGATTATCGTTTGTAATGACGATGGAATTCCCTCGAGTTCCGATAATATCGTAGATTCCGTCGTGTCGCGTCGAGTAAGGTAGAATCCTCCCTTTCGTATTTAATTTTCTGGCTTGAGCCGCCTTCTTCTTGTCGCAACTATCACCTTGATCGTCCTCGAATTTCTATCGTTCGGTTGCGGCAAGCGGGTTGCGGCTGGCTCGTCTGTAATGAGTGGATTCGCCCCTGTGTCGCTTGTGTGAAACCGGATTCGGAGCCCCTGCTATCGCATTCTCTGATTGCCAACGGTTTTTTGTTTTTATGCAAGGAGTGACTGGAGTGAAGAAGGGCGAAAACGGTTTGCGAACAGAGACACAACGAAAAAGTGGTCGGTGCCAAAAGGAGATGCAGGAAGGAAGGAACAAAAGAGTGAATACCCGGAGGGTTTGTGTTTGTTGGCGAGGGAAAGCAAGAAGGGGGCGAGTAAGGGAAAGAGCGCGCGAGATTGAGGCGGACAGGGACGGGAAGCAACCTGGAAGGAATGGAAGGAACGGATGGAATTTGGGAAGGGACCCGACACCTTGAAAACACGGGGAAAGTGGAGGGAAGGAAGGTGAGGCAATCTGCCTACCTATTCAGGGGAGGGGGCAGCGGTCTCAGGGTCCAGGGGGAAAGAGGCAGGCACCGCCGCACGTACGAAAAGCACGCCCGACGCAGGTACGACAGGAGCAGGCGCAGGAACAGGAAGGAACCCGTGGGCAGACAGAAGGCACAGAGTGAGAGTGACAGTGGAAGGAAAGAAGGCGCCCCTCCTTCCTCCCTCATTCAACAACGTGCCTGCCTCAAATGTCTCTATTTTCAATCATTCCTTCCATACCATCCCCCATCAGGAACGCATTGACTCCTTCAGTCGATTTAGCGGCTGTGCATTTCTGCATATTCTGCATTCGCGAGGAAAGACACGAGTTCCAGTCTGGGGGGAGAATGTGGCTGTGTCTCACTCATCTTCGTTTTCAATGAGGCCGAGAGTGCCGGAATTGGCTGTCATGATTGGCTCATGAGAAACCATCCCCAAAAAGGCCTCCCCTTACGGTGTACAACGGTCTTGAACAGGAACAAACACGAACCCGGGCCCCAATTAAAGGGTTGGCGGGATGGTCCAGCGATCCGAGTCAACCGAATACGGCCAATGAACGGCCAACACGGGCGAACATACTGCCGCAGTCAATTTCCTCGACTCTGGATTTTGCCTCCCTACGAACTGCGCAAGCCAAACACAATACTGATGACATTGCCAAAGAAGGGTCCGAGAGGGGCAGTTGGAGTCTTTCGTGGGTTATCGTGGGCATCGCCAACCGACAGAGTGGGAGCCTCGTGATTAGAGTGGCTGCCAAAGAATTGGTCTTGCGGGGAAATGCTTGTCTCGTGTTTCACATTTCAAACTCCCTGTTCGCTGTGTCCGGTGAGAAATTGGCATGTCATCCCCTTCTCTCGAGGTCGGGTGACATTGTGGCGGATAAAATACCTAGTTGCGCGCGCGACGGCCTTCGAATCTGATGGGTTTGGCAGCGCGAACTCTACGGATAGAACCTCGAGGGCGTTCGTCCCGCCATACTGCGTAGAAAACTCGGCATAGCATTGATGACTGAGCACCCGGACAATCAACTGTCAATAGCCCTCTATTAGAGTTCATGACGACAGCGATGTCAATTGACATTTCCTCTACACCAGATGACTATCATCACCTCCAGGTTTCTTGCCTACGGAAACACGGCACATCCTTAATTTCCCTTTCCCTCTGCCATCCCCCCTCACCGAGGCAGCGGCAGCGACTCAGCGACCGTCAACAACATCATCTTGTGACATGCTTCAGACATCCCACCGCATGAATTGTAACGAGTTATCCCGGCGATAAGGCCGACGGGAAGAGCCAACCGCCGTACCTTTCATTTCGCTAAATGGGCCTTGTGGTGCTCGAGCTTCCCACTCACTACGAGCCACGCACTGACCAGGGAAAAAGCAAGACAAACCATTGGAAGTTTGTTAATAATAGAACCCTGAGACAGCGCCGTCGCCACCCCGCCTGAGTTTTCTCCCCATGTCCTTTTTTTTTTTTTTTTTTTTCGGAATGCCCTCGCCTACTGCCGAGGTGCCGCTGGCGTTCGAAAATCCCCCGACTCACTTTATCTGTGGAGCGACCCTGACGTTCTCGGGAGCTTTGTGGGATACCGAACAACTGCGATCACCAAGTCCGCAGAAACGGATACGAGCGACGATGGTCAGCTCGA